GGTCTTGAAATTTCTTGTAGTTTATCTGCAATCCTAAAAAGTATCAGCTTTTGAAAGCTATCGTAATCTTGTCTCTTTTAATATCATTTATGAATCCTTCACAAAGTCTACAGATTGGCTAAAGCAGCTAGAGGCAAAATTCAAAATTTCAGTCCTTACTAAATAGGGCAGTTTTTATAGAAAACCTCTAATTATGCAAATAAAAGACAGATTTTTTGGGGCTTACCTACAGTCTACCAAAGTCATTCAATGAAAGCCTCATTGAATGTCTCATTTTTGATGTCAGGCCGTGCTCATTCAAACATCAGCATCATTTTTTTCATCAATCTCTTACACTTTCAAGCCATTCTACTAATTCTGTTTTTATTTTCTCTTTCTTTCATTCATTTCATTGATTCAAAAATGATTTCATTCACTTTTTCCCCTAAACAGCAAGATTTATGTATTGTCTGTAGATAAAATCGCAATTTTCTTCCCCAAAAACTGTCACACGTTTCCTTTCAATCATTCCCAAAAAAAAACATTTTCTCGAGTTTTGTGCTTTAAACTTTTCATAGAAAGAAATGATCGAATGCCTCGTTTCTCAAATTTTTATTTATTTCTCAAAATGTGGGCGGGATTTGCCCCTCAATTTTGTTATCTCATGACAGAATTTTGGCGCTTGTCTCATTTCTTTGTTTTTTTTCTCGGAAAAAGTCTCTATAATCGTTCTTTATATGAGTAGTTATAAATAGTCAAAAGAAGAAACAATATTTCTCCATGTTTTCCCGGGTTTTCTTGCACCCAATTTTTTTCATATTTGTGCATAGTTTGATCCCTTGTAAAATTTGCTTGTTGCTTTTATTTCCTGTAGTTTTAAATAGGTGGGCAATAGGCCTGTCCCGACCAGGCCTAAACAAAGCCTAAACATGTCAAGCCATGTCTAGACAAATCCTATAAGCTAGCCAAGTTGTAACAGTTATCGAACTCAGTTGTAACAGTTACCGAGCTGTTATACACAACACGTTTCTCTCTCAATCAATATTTTTTCTAAAAGTTGTCTATTTTCGAAAAGCGCCGTAACACCTTTAGTTAAACTATCAATTTGTGTGGTTTGCTTTGGTAAGGGTTCATAAAGTATACCAAAGTATTGGGTTGGTGAATTGAAAACTGCCGGACTTTGAACTAAAATTTATTGAACATACAACCATCAATTCATTCCAAATAATTTCCATTATTATTGACGACTTCTGCCCATTTTACAGGCAATTTGCGGATTCCTCTTTCGTGGTAGGATTTTGGTTTGTGTGTGAGACAAGTGTGAGACTCAAAAATGGAGAACTGAAGATGTTCCAGTTTGAGCACTTTCACCAAAAGAAACCCATTTTGGTGTCAATACAAAAGTTGTAGAGAATCAAAAATTAGGCTTATAGCCAAATTTCCAAAAAGATACACTTCGTAGTTTCGCTTAAAATGCAAGTTTTGTGAAAATTCGTAAATTTCGCATTTCTTGAAAACCAGGTTCTGAAAATTTGGATATAAGCTTAATTTTTGATTCTCTACAACTTTTCCATTGACACCAAAATGGGTTTCTTTTGAAGAAAGTGCTCAAACTGTGACATATGACAATAGCCGGCAGTTTTCAATTCACCAACCCAATATATACGGGGTGCGGCAGGATTATTGCAACCGCCTCAGGGCATCTTAGCTCCAACAACTATCTCGACATATTTAAGAAAGATCTTCTTCCGTGAGCCAAAAACCACTTTGAAAACAGGATTTGGTGTTTTATGTAGGTTGATGCTTATGCTCACAAGGCTCGAGTGGTTCAGGACTGGCGCAAGCAGCATTTCCCCGATTTGACCACCTTTAGTGGCCACTCACAAGTCCCGATCTTTATCCTATAGATTTCAGTGTTTGGAATGTTTTTGAAGTAAAAACGTGCTCAAAGCCGCATTCCACGTCGATTCGCTTAAGAAATCTCGTAAAAAAGCAAAAAAAGCATGTGATAAACTCGATTCCGCTTATCATTTGGTCGCAGCGGACGCATTTCCCAAATGTCACCAAACCGTAGAGATCTTTTTAAAAGGAAGTAGTTTTTCTTGTTTAATATATCTTTAAAAATAAATTGTTAAAGTTTTGGAGTATTTGATTTCTCTTTTATCGATTCCTATCTTTGAAAAATAGTAGTTGCAATAATCCTGCCGTACCCTTTAGATTGGATAAAAACTAGAGGCCAGATTATGATAGTTTTCAAAAATTGAGACATTTTAGAAAACGTCTTGCTAATAAACATGTTGTTATTGAGGAAAACGGCAAAAATCAAACACTGCCTTTTTTATGTTTGATGAGAATATTAATTTTCTTTTGAAAGGAAATTTTGATTTTCCAATGCATAGATGAATCAAAAGTTCATCAGCATATGTCGTTTGTCGTTTGTCGAAAAAACATAGGCAGAGTCATTTTCAGCTTTTCGTGCTTTATTTTATAATTTTATTTCATTAAAAGTTGCTCTTTAACACATTCACGACGATGATACGACCCACCCAGTCCATCGTACTAATGACGATTATTTTTGATGTCAACTCAAGTTTTTAAGGATTTTTTTATTTGTTTCGAAGAAGTTTCTCGTTAACTTTGTACTAGTTTTTAAGAGGAGATTCAGGGCTGTCGAATAGTTTAGTCTATAATATATGACTATAATAGTTTAGTTTTTCTTTGAATTGTTCATCAAATTATGGATCAGTAAAACAGTAACGACTACGCGACTGTACAGGGTGCGCCATAATTGTCGCAACAAGGTGGCGCAAAGTCAATTCCGATAACTACCTGGCTCTTCTCAAGGATGAACTCTTGCCCTGGGCTAGTAAACATTTTGGAAAGCGCATTTGAACAACGTAAACATTTTGGAAAGCGCATCGCACAGGCGCACCGGCCCACAAATCCACGAAAGTCGAAGAGTTCTGCCAAAAAAACTTTCCGGACTTCATTTCTTTTTCTGAGTCCATAGCTCATTTGCCACATAGCTCTCCAAACCTCAACCCAATGGATTTTCAGTGTGGTTCTAGAAGCCTGTTCAAAGCTCCACAAAAACATCGAAAGCTTCAAGGAATCACTGTTGAAAGCGTGGGAAGAGCTCGATCCACCCTCGCGCCACCGTTGACGCCTTCCCAAAGAGCCTGCTCAAATGCTAATGATGGCCGATTCAAATTTGATAGTTCATTTATAATTGTTAATGTACAATAAATGTTATTCAGTCTAAAAAGTTGTCTTTCTTGCCCTTGTCTGCCTTCAAATCAGAACTTTATCTTGTTGCGACAATTATGGTGCACCCTGTACGCCCAAAAGGCCGTCGTCGCGAATGTATTAAGGCGATAATCTGACTGTGAGATTATCTTTTACAAATCACAATCACCGCGAATCAATTCTTTCCCTCGTCCACCCACTTTTTCACCCACTTTTATTTCTTCACAAATCCTCAGTTTTCCCTTTTTGTTTTGAAGAGTTTTGTATCCTCCTTCTCACTTTCCATTTCAATTTTTATTTCTCCATGGCTACAATTTTGCACACGCAATCACAAAAACACGAGAAACGAGGGCAAATTTTCCGATAAGATCCCCTTCAATGGTCAGCCTACGTAACACTTATTTTTGAGTACAATCCACCTTTCAGCAAACAGATCAACTCAAACTTTTACCCTTTACATTTGGAAAGTCTACAGTTTCAAAAATCTAAAGTACAAATCTGTTCTTTGCGAATCTGTTGATTTATAAAGAAACACGTTTCCTTATTACTTTACAAGTATCTTTGAAGTACCCATGTTGTTATATAAATCAATTTTGGTATCAGTTTTCATTTTACATAACCTAACTGCCATAGAGTGGCCATCTATTCTCAAAAAGGTTGGCCCCAGAAGCTAGACCCGGCTTCTAGCATAGCCTGGTTTAGGCTATTCTAGCTTAAACTGACCTGCCCTAATCTAGTCTGATTTGCTTGGCCAAGCCTGATCTTGTCTGACCTGGTCTGGCATGACCATCGGAAGCATCTCTGGTTGGAACATCTTTGTAATGCCTAAATTTACTCGGTGATCAGGCTTTTTTTAAGCCTAGATTCGTTCTGTTTTTGTTTCTAGCGGTTCGTTCGGTCAGCAACTCGGTCAGTAATAATATTTTTGTATCCAATTCGTATCTACTAGTACTAGCGCGTGCTAATAATGTTCAGAAGAGAAAAAAGAACTTCTTTTGTAGTGAGGCTTAGGCAGGCTTAGGCTTCGAATATGAAAAAAACGGATATGTAAAAAATATATTTGGTTCCCGGAGGGGGAACAAAATTGCACACATGGGAAAATTTGGGGAGAGGGAACAAATCGAGAGTGGAAAAGGGGGAAAGGAAAAGAAATATGAAAAATATAGAAGACTCGTGTATCTTTTTGTAGAGAAAGGGGGTAAAAATGGCTGAGAAATAGACTGGTCGGTGGTTGGGAGGAAAAGAAACGGAAAAGGGGAAACACGGCGATAAAAAAAGACTGCAAGAAAAGGGGGAAAAGGGGCACCGCCTCGATCGATTCCCTTACCCCTTTCATATATCCACTCAAAGATTCTGGGTCTTCTTTTACGCTTTTTACGCTTTCTACCTCATCTTCCTTAGTCTTTCTTTTTGTCTGCCTCTTTTTTTCTCTTTTTTTTTCTAACGATCTTTTTTCGATTACCCTGATTTGATTTCAAACGTGTTAATTGCGTTCGCTTTTTTCGTCTGACTCATTTTTACACCTCAATTTTTAAGATTAATCTTCTCTTATCCGCTTAGAGATGAAATTAAAGAGTTTCAAAAATTTGTAAGAGTTTATAGTTTATAAAAAAATTGATATTGATCTCATTGGATTCACTTAATTGAATGTCATTTGGGCAGTAGTTCCGAGATTTCGTTTCATTTCAACAATTTCTTTGATAATCTTTAAATTTATTTAGCTTTTAAACAAAAACAAGCTTTTAAACATTTCTCAACCGTTTAGAAACTGTGAAATGTCGACAACAGCCAGTCGACTTCCACCGCATCAAATGCCGTCCGATGTTGTTAAAGGTTTGATCAAGCACAAGATAAACCTAAGTCAAATATGTCTCTTAAAGTGGAAGTGCAATAAACTTAAGCAAATTATGTCTCGAACCTATTTGCATCTTTGTTTTCTCAACCATTTCTTTGTCGGTTGTGCTGAATTTTGTCGACAGGCTGTTGATTTCTACTTGTAAGCAAAACTTCAGAACAATTGACCAAGAAATGATCGAGATAACTAACTGGCTAGGTTCAGACGGAATTTTTCTTTTCTGTTATTTGAACAAGATTGTTTTAATATTATTGTTTCCCTTTCAGTGATTCTCAATCCCGAGTTGCGCCTGCAGACTCTTCTCAAAGGTGCCACCGAGAAAGTTTTCTGTCAAAGTGTTCCCATATATCAGTGAGTGATTAAAAAAGTTAAAATTTCTAAATCTATTCAAGATATTACCTTCACATCTACAAGCTTTTCAATATGGGCATGGAGTATTCGGCCGAGAATAACGTCGAGAAAGCCGTGTGCTGTTTTTTGAGATTTGCCAGGTCAGAGTGGCTTGAAAGATGGTGTAAAGTTGTATTAATACCTCTATGAATATCATATTGATTTCAAAGTTAGCTGTGTATTGGATATTTTCACCATATAGTGAATATTTTTTCAGTGTCGCTCTGGAGGATATCCCTCAACACCGCGACTACATCCTCTTCAACCCAACCGTCGTCTCGAAAGATCGAATGATGAAATGCGTGGTTGAAGCTCTTGAATATGTGGAGAGGGGAAAAGCTCGACTCATGACCGTCTACACACAACAATCCGAGGCGCTAAAAGCTGATGTTTGTTTAAAATTATTATTTTACTAAAAGAAGCTTTCAGCTTAGCTTCTTCCAAAGCTGCACGAAGAAAATCCCCTTTTGCACGGGAGTCGATCACGATTTTGTGATGATGAAAGAGTGAGTTTGAACAAAAAATCTTGGGGTTTCTTTGATTGATCTTTTCTCATTGCTATTAGCTGAATAACTTTTAAAAGGCACAGAATCAGCTCAGTGGATGAGGTTACTTACCTTTTTTACTAATATTAGGTTGGCAAAAAAGTCGTTCTTTTTCTAAACCTCGGAAAGTCCAAGACACCCGCTGCTATGGAGATTTGCTTACTCTAGTACACTAGTATTGATCACTGAAATATCCTCACAAAATATTGTTGTCTTTACCGTTATTTTTTGTATACTTTTAGAAAGAACCCAATGCAAAAAAGGAGTGAAGACTTTCTCGCCAGCCTAATATCATAGTAAACTGTTGTACTTTTGCTACAGTATTCCTGATTACCTTGATTCAGCTAGGAAGGATTAAAATTTCAGTTGAATACTTAGATTTTTTTAAATGCATTATAGTACTGATCTATTAACTCAAATCACATTCAAATTTCAGGAAAGAGGGCGACGATGGCGACTCTCAAACTGATCGATCATCGCACGATTGTGATTGCTCGACGGGTGTTCGTTTAGATGACGATTCGATGAATGATTGTGGTGGATTGGATGAAACACTTCTTTCCTTTATCTCGATCGAGCTCCCGCAAAACGCCGTCTCCAAGTGGGTACAGTTGAATAAACCCTTGTCGATTTTTTTTCTCTGATAAACCCTTGTGTAAACCCTTGGGAACTTGCGATGAGCTCAAAAATCATTTGTTTGAGACGCAACAGTTACACCATTCATCTATTATTTTAAAAATTAGAATCAAACGTGACTTAATTGCTGAAATTTCAGATTTCTTGAAGTGGTTCGCGTGAGTCGACGAGACGTCGCCGCGGCGCTTGCTTTCTTTTGCGGGAAGAAGGTTTGTGATCGAATTGTGGGAAATTTCAAAAGTATTACTTTAGTAAAAGTTACCGTATGCCATAGTACAGTAAGACAAATTGTTATAGTACTTTTTCGTGCTACAGAACTACAATAGCGCTTTAAAACAGCAACACCTCTCGGAAGCTAGAGTTTACTGTAAGCAGGTCACAAAAAAGAATCAGGTAGTCGAAAAAATAGGCTAACATGTTACTTTAGATTTGTAGTAAAAGAACTACAATATTTTTGCTGTAAAATCTTTAAGGTCATCGAATTTAGACGGACAAAAGCTATGAAATCACCCATTTGGTGTTCCCCGGTCAAATCTATCTACAGGACAAGTCGCAAATTGTCGTCCCAAAGGAGGTGAGTTAGAAAAGGAAATATAATTTTGATAATAAGGCATTAGAAAAAGTACGGTACGGTATGTAAATTTTAATTCTAGATGACAAAAATCCTCTCCGAGCAAGCGCCGGAAGTGATCGGCTGGATTCACACACATCCACGAGGGGTTTGTCTTGGTGATTACAGTAATCCAACAATCTATCAATCGAAATATTTTGCGTTTCTCAATTTTGATAGAATGGATAGATAGATAAAATCTTATGTGTATCAACAAGTGTTTTGGTCGAAATTACACATTTCTTCAATTCATCAAACACGAAGAAAGTTGAGGGATTCCACGAAAAAACGGAAACTCATTTTTCCATGAAAATCTAGATTCTCGTTTGAAAATCTTTGAATGTTTTGCACAAGAAGTGGCGATAGAAAATAGTTGCTGAAGTTATTGGGATTGTAAAGCCTTTGGTAGAGATGTTAAAGGAAATTGAACTGAAAATTCCACTCAAAGTTAGAGATATATTAAACTTTAAGTTTTGTGAGTAAAGACATTCAACCTTGTTAGCTGAATACTTTTTATTTCGGTATAAAAAATATACGATAGCCAGACAAGAGCTTGAGACTTTCACTTTACATTATCTTTAAGATATTTTGCTAACAAGCTTCTAAATTTTTGCTAAATTTCTAAAATAAATTTTCCTTCTAAATTATCCATTTTCAAATCCAAAAAAAATTCATTTTGAATACAAAAAAGGCACTGATTAATCAGGTATTTTTTGCACACCTTTTCCCAAGCCACAAATTCTCTAAAAATTGTGTTTTGTGTTCTGAAAAGAAAAGGCTAGTTCAATTAGTGTGAAAAGAATTGGAAGGAATAGAGCAGGAATAGAGATCAAAGATAAAGAAAAAAGAAATGACATTGCTTTCAGGATGCTTTTATGTCAACAACGGACCTTCACGATCATTTCCCCTATCAAAAGAAGATCGAATCAGCAATTTGCGTGATTTGCACAACGAATGATCGCCAAGGGTGTGAAAAATCGAAAAATTATATAAATTTCGGTGTTCAGTGAGGATATTGGGTATTTTCATATGACGAAACGAGGAATGGAGGCTATCGAGAGGTGTACATTGAATGATCGACCGCATAATCATTGTCAAGGAGCCGGCCCCCTCTTTCAAAAGGCCAAACACATCAATTTCTTGTTAGTTTAGCTAAAGAGAAACTTTTGAAAATGAGAAAATTTCAGGAAGGATAAATCGATTGATGTGATCGATCATCTTGACTTCGAGAAGGCAAAGGAAAACATAGCAAAGGTGAGAGAAAGGAAGGTACTGTAAGAGGCTCGATTTTCAAAATTCACAGATACACAGTGCACAAGTTTTAAACTAGGTTTATCTAATTAAATTTCAGCCTCCACCAGTCACAGAGGCTCGACCGCCAAGCATCGAAGTGGTGGCTGAAATTCGGGGAAATCCGCCGCCGACGAAAAAACTCAAAGTCGAAGCCCAATTCAAGAAACCGATCCCACCACCGCAGCCGCTGCAATCGAAAATAAATAGGGTTTGAAATTCAAGATTTTACAAAAAGATCATCAACTTTTAGCCTCTCCCAATAAACTCGACAACAACAATTTCTTCCAAAGTTCCCAATCCTCCCATTGCCACCGTTACGACCAATCTTCCAATGCCAGCTGAACCCTCGACTTCTCATCTACCCTTCCAACCAATGCCCGCGCCTCCGATTTTGAATCCTGTTTCGAATTTGGGTAAGTAAATTTCACAATGAATCAACGAGCACTTGTCGATTTTATACTACATCTATAAATACTAATCTTAAATGTAAATTGCGGGATTAAATCAACAAGTGCCAAGTCAACTCAATGATTCAGGCAACAATCCACTCGCTTCATTGCTCGCCTCATTCTCAACGATGAACCCGCCGATTCCCGTGCAACTTCTAGCCGGCCTGCCGACGGATCTTCTCTCGAGTCTGCTCAACCAAACCCCTTTAGATTCCCATTCTTCGATACCCGCCCCGTCTTCCAGTCTGATACCCCTTCCACCACCGCCTCCCACTTTTGATACTGCTTCTACCTCGTCCACGCTGCCACTGCCCCCATTCACCCCTACAACTATGCCCTCGCTTCTTCCACTCAACTCAAGCCCGACAACTGTTCCGCCGGTGATCTTCGGGAACCAAATGATTACGTTCGATCCACACACCGGTTGTCCCATCATAACTTCGAATCCTTTACTCCGTGAACCATTCAATTAGTTTTTAAATTATTTTCGACTAGCTAAATTTCGATGTATACGCTATTTGTAAAATGTATGATACCAACCCATTCACCAATTATAACCCAAAAACTTTGATATTGGCATTTTAAGTTTTTTTCTGTTACGATTTTAATTTTTCTATACGCCCGGTCAGAACTTCCCGTTTATTTTGCATTTTTCCATTGTAAAATTGTCGTCAATAAATTTATCACCTTAAAAAGAAAACAAAATATATTATTAGAGATCCACCAAAAATACCAAAATATAAAGCAGCATCAATTGTCACAACTTAACATTCATCTTCTTGACACAACATATTGGGAATTCCATCCTAAAAAGAAAACTTTTTGAGCAAAAGTTGGAAAGCTATACTTTGATGGGAAATACGCGACCACTTTCCGGACATTCTAATTCGCCGACAATCACTTCAATTTTGACAAGAACACGATGTAACTAAAGGGATTACCAAATTGAAGCGTTACAATATTTCCAATTGCAAATTTTAAATTAAATAAGAGAAAATACCAACTTCTTTTAACAGTTCTTCGTTCTCTCTCCAATTTTCTGGTAGTTCATTTGGTAAAGCGCCTTGTTCCCCGATCGCCATCAAAGTCGAAACCAAACAATTATAATCAACCTAAAGTAAAAAATATAAAAGTAATTAAAGCAGTTTTCACCTTGGGCATAATATTTTGGACAAAATCTTGATCGAATTCGACTTCTCGCAACTAAAGAGAATTTAAAAAAATTCTTTTTTTAAGCTTCTTACCTCTTTCTCGTTCACTCTTAAAAGTAGAGGATATCCTGTCGCCACATTTTTGAGGAAACGAGAAGACAAAAAGTTGTGCGTCAGCAGCTTCATCACTAAAGTATTAAACAATTATGATCAACCTAAAGTAAAAAAAATAAAAGTAATAAGGCAGTTTACCTTGGACAAAAATTCTGATCCCATTTTGAAACTCATGAGATTACTATTTTTGTTTATATTTAAAGGATCAACCAGATTTCAACAATTTCAACAATTTTAAAAATACTTTATTTTCCACACATATATCAATTAGCCGCATAAACAAGTTTAAATTAAATCACAGATTGAAGAAAATTCGAGGAACACTTTCCCAAACTTTAGAACATTTTAATTACAATTACAGCTATTTAGCAAAAGAAAATTTCTGATTGAGTTGGTGTAAAGGGGGAAATTAAAAGCGGTCGATTCGTCACCATGTTACGAGATAAAACTAAAAAAATACAAATACGCAAAGTGTTCTTAGAATATACCTGGTTGAGCTCGAGTGGTCTTTGGTGGAATACCCCAGTTAATTGGTCGAAGTTCATTTAATATCGGCTCACTGATGGCTGCGTTGAAAAGTGGAGGCGAAAGAGCGGCAGCAATCGGAATTGGTTGCAAAGGAGTTATCATTGGGATCGCCGGCTCCGGGTCATCGAAATCTAAAAAATCATTTCAAAAAGCGAGATATTAAACCCCAACCAATCAATTTATCTGAGTGTGACTGATCCATCGCACTTGGGGTTTTGGGCTGCTCAGAAACGGCTGATGACTTCTGATTCTTCGTGGCAAGATGCTTTCCCAATGCTTGCCCCATTCGTGCCTTTATGCGTCCAATCTTTTTCACCATTGAATTTACGGTGATTCGCGAAGGCTTTTGAACATTTTTCTCCTTGACAATAAGCTCCTCAGCTAAAAATCAAATATAATTTTGGTTAAAAGGAATTCACAACTACTTTCTAGGATTTCCGTTTGAGACTCGTTATCCACCTTCCCTGTTACTTCCCATTCATCGTGCTTGGCCAGATTGGTAGATCCCGATGTATAAGTGTTGCTATCGTCAGCTCCTAAAACCATACATTATCAACTTTATTCTTTGGAAAACAACCTCCTATTGTGCTGGAATTTATATCGAGAATACTGGTGGATAAAGTGGAGGGGAACGAATTGAGTGGAATATACTTTCCAGCCTAAAACATTCTCTTTTCAGTATATAGTGTAATAAGCTAACATATGATTGGCTCTCTGGCAAACATTTGTAGACATCCCGCGCTTCTTCAATTGCAGCATTGTTTTGAAGCGACGATAAGTGTGTTAGTAGAAATTCTGTTTGGACTGATGATGCTCCTTGGTACACGCATTCGTTTCGTGTCTAAAAACACCTTATTAAATTAGTCTGGCTATTTTCAAACTAACCTCTTTAGTGAAGCTTAGACTAGCAGAGGTTCGTAACATCAGCCCTTCGTTTTCCTGTGAATGAGGTGGTGATTTAAAGGTCTCAATCCTAAAAAGTAAAGAATGAAAGTTTTCTTTGAATGTCGCACTCAATTCCTTCGATACTTGTAGGTACGGGAAACTCGTCACCAGTTTTTGAGTCTCTAGTTGTTTCGGCGTCAAGATCAACCAAAATCTAAATTTAATAATCTTAACAAGTCAAATTTAATAGCCAACCTGAACATAAACCGCTGGAAAAATTCCAACTTTTCCGCCGATGTCCCCTTCCAACCAATCCTTGTCGATTTTTCGAGTCAATTTGATGATCTCGTTGGCACCAAATGATAGTTCATTTGCGTATTCACCTCTAAAAATAATAAAACTCTAGAACTAGATAACTACTTACTGAAATGGAAATATGGCTTGTGCATGTGGTGCCGCATTCCCGACATCGTTATTTGAAGAGTTCACTCGTCGCGTATAATTCTAAAAAGTTGTTTTTAAAAACGTCATGATCATGCATGGTACACAAGATTTATTACATTCTGAATTTGCACTCATAATATGCTAGTAGTTTCCCCATAGCAATTCAAATCTTAAAACAAAACCTGAACGTATCCCGACGGAAAAATCCCAACTTTTCCATTGAGTTCTCCTTCGAGCCAGTCTTGATCAATCTTTCGCGTCAACTTGATGATCTCGTTGGAGCCGAATGAGAGCTCGTTTGTGTATTCTCCACTACAAAAAAAGTAAACTTTACAAGCAACAAGATCACTGACCGAAACGAGAACTGAGACTGCACATAAGGGCCGATCGGATCGATGATTGACGGAGTGCGCGGGTATGACATCTAAATTAAACATCGTGCAAGATTCACAAAAAATTAAAGAAGAACAAGGGGTCAACGGGCACTATTACATTTTGGAGAGGGGAATAACACCCAGAAAGGATAAATAACGTTTCGAAATTTAAAGAATTTGAAATTTGTGGTAGTGAGGTTAACCAAAACTGCTAAAAAATGCTGCACAGCTATTGAGAGAGAAAAAGGGGGTAGGCTAATTTCCGCCATTTTATTTGCGCAACAGGGTCATTTGCGCAACTGGGTCGTTTGCGCAACTCGCCATAACTTCCTGTTAAGTGGACCAATCTTTATGATTTTGGTTTCATTTTGTAGATCTCAATAAGTGCAACAAAATGAAACCAAAATCATAAAGATTGGTCCACTTAACAGGAAGTTATGGCGAGTTGCGCAAAAAAAATTCGCGCAAAGTAGCCTATCCCAGAAAAAGTGACTAGTTATCGCTGCGGCATTTTAAATAATTTTAATTTGACATCACACGGTATTCTGATATTTCGTTGCTGTACTGAATATCTTCGAAACTGTTTTGTTTATGAATAACGGACACCTCAGACACTCGTCAATTGGTGTCCATTAAATATAATGATTAGCCATTAAACGCCAATTTTATCAGCTCTTTTAAAAATTCACAAACCTATCATTGCTTTTTGTGTAGCCAAAATAGTGCTTCTTTTTGGATACATCTAAAAAAGCTCAATGTTTATATTTTTTCAAGCCATTCAATTTTTTTCAATACGAATCGAAATCGAGACTTCCACTTTCTAAGAGAAAAGTTGAAAGTTTATTATGCAAAGTGTTTTGTAACAAACTAAGATAAATATTGAAAAGATTGGCATAAATATGTTGTTCACTCTAATATCACAAAGTATTTGGTAACACGTACAAACTAGGTATAGATAAGTAAGTTCTACAAACAAATAAGATACAGTACTGTCCAAACTAGATTGTGTTTCCTTTGTCTTGGAAGTGTTTTCTGTTTAAGGGGCTAGGCTAACAGATGATTTAGATGCAGTCTATTCTTATCGTTTCACTGCAAAAACAGTTGGATTACGGTAGCTACGGTACCTTTAGCTGGATTACCTTTTAAAAACGTTCCAACCAAAAGAAACACTGTTTAAGGGTATAGAAACTTCAAATAAAAATTGGTATAGAAACTCCAGAAAGGCACTTTGGGCAAACAAATCAATCTAGAATCTAGATATACGGTTTAGATAAGGAAAAGAAGCACAATCCAAAAAAAAGCTCTCGATGTTGCGTAGGTTGTATGAGAGGGGATGAATAGGGAAAAGCACCATAAGTACTAGGAGCACAAAGTGATTCGAAAGGAATGATAGAGAAAAGAAAGATAGAGGAACGAAATTGGGGCAAGTATGGAGTTGAATTGGCAACAATGGTGAGCAAATGTGGTAAAAATTTCGTGAGAGAATCATAGATCCTTGATGTAAGTAGACGGGACATAACTAAAAATTTTCTCTTTTCCTGTGTTTTGTTTTTGAAAAAGTACAGATCTAGCATTTTTCTAAAGCTTCAAAGTTTGAACTTCTCTTACCCGTGTTCTCCATTTGGACGCCGAACAAGAACCCATTCCGAGTTGCCATCATCGTCGTGGCGCTGAACAAGTTGAAGGCGTTCACCTGTAAGATTTTATAAGTCCTGTCTTTTATGCTACAAAAAACCTTCACGAATGAGTAGTTGATTATCACCAACCGGGGTGAAATCATATTCAGCAACAACAAGAGTGTGAGCCTAAATTGGCTTAGAATTATTGAAATTTTCAAAAAGGCAATCAAGGGGTTCAGCTTGATTTGTGTATATTTCTACCTTGTTCAACCCCAGCGATTGTGGGGGCGCAGGTGCTGAACGAGCCGAGATTTGTTGAAACTCCGTTGCCGGTGGTGTATCATAAGCCACAGTGGAGCTCGATGCAAATGGATTTGTTCCAAATGATAAGGACTAAATTTAAGTAAATAATATTGTAACAGAAGCAGCAAATTCAAATGCAAAATCACGATGCACATGACAACAATATAGCCATACCTCAGCCGGTGGTTCGTCATAAAACGACACCCACCCCTATAGGAAAAAGAATGTTGATGATTTGTCAATAGAATGATTTAATTTTTAACTCCAAACTAACCGGTGGTTGATCGTAGGCTGGTGGTTGAGCATAAGTTGCAACTCCGACTTGTGGACGAGTGGGGACGAGTGGTTGTGGAGATTCGCTGCGCACTTTATTCAATGGTGTTGCTTTGAACTAAAGTAGAATAAGCATTATATTGTTTTTATTTCAAACTTGATCCCAAAGTTGCGAGAAAGTCTCATCACTCGCTGATGCTCTGTTCGAGGTGTTTCTCGTTGAACCATTCTAAATTTGGCCGAGGAGTTGCCATGAGTTAAATTTACTGTAAGCTTTTATGGTCAGTTGTTTGTCTACAGTATATCACAAGTTATTCTTCTCTTTCTCCCTTTCTTTCCCTTCCTATTTCTTCTACGGCGAAGCAGGCGCCGATAGCTCAGTCGTAGAGCATCTCTCTGGTGAGCAGGAGGTCGAGGGTTCAGTCCCCGTTCAATACCATTTATTTTATTATCATAAACCTACTTGTTGTGGAGGCAATGGTGGTAGTCCTCCACCCGAAGCTGGCATTGATCCAAAAGCCATCCAGTTCGATGGCTGATTTGAAGAAAGCGAAGTGGTCGATGGAGCGGGAGATGGTTGCAGAGGAGTCACTTAGATTGTGGAATTTCAAATCTTTAGAATTTCCACTTACTGCTCAATGACATTTGATTGGTTTGAATCGGAGTAAGGGGAGACATTGCAGTAGACGTTCTCAATGAATCATTGAATGCATCTAAAAGAGTGTAATCAATGACTTTTATAAAACTAAACCAAAAGCTGTTCTTGATGACATTCTCCAATCAATTGCCGGCGGTTCAGCTAAGACTGGCTCGTTTAGTGCCGGGTAAATGGGTCTTGGTGAAAGGGAAGGAATCAAAGAGACTGGTTGAAGTGGAGCAATCGATGTTGTTGTTGGAGGGACCAGATCGTCAAGTAAATCTGTAAAATACAACAAGGATATTGACTAACAACTGTATCACGTATTCAACTAAACTTGTAACAAAAACATTTGTCGGTCCTTTTTGCCGTTGGCGATTTAAAGTTTTTCATGTTTTTCTCAGCACCAATCCTTCGATTTTGACTATTTTAACTATGATTCGATGCAGAATAAAATTGAGCGTCAAATGATACCAAAATTAACTCAAAATATAATATCCATGCAAAGCTATGAGACAAAGGTTAATTCCCCGACCATAATGGGCGGGGTTTAGGTTTTTAGCCAACAACTTTGCGTGGATATTATATTTTGAGTTAATTTTGGTATCATTCGACGCTCAATTTTATTCTACATCGAATCCTAGTTAAAATATGCAAAATCGAAGGGTTGGTGCTGAGAAAAATACGAAAAACAAAAGACTGACAGGTATTTTTGTTCGTTATATTCGACTATCAACTGACCAATGAGATTGTTCGATTGTTTGACAGGTGGAGTACTTTTTGGTCTTTCTGTGGCCACCGTAACCCGTTGTTCAAGCAAACCAAGATCCGCAAATGGTTCTCCAATATTTGTACCCGGCCTTTCATAGTATGGAGTGAGGATTCCAGATGGAAGAAGACCGTTGTAGTAGCCATTGTAGCAATACCTAGATTTTCACTTGTTAGGCAAGAGGTTTCCGTTTGGTGCTGTAAACTATTGGAGTATTTACAGTAACAAGCACATCTAGATCTATTCATCAAACTTACCATAAACCCCTCTCCTCTTTTCTCACAGCCAACACCGCATCTCCGGCCTTTACAATGAGCATTCTTCCCGTTTTTTCACTCGCCTCTCGTGCTTCCAAAGAGGCCGGCCATTCAGAGACACATTTGTAAACATCGGCTCGACGAGATCTGGAGATTTAAAATTGTACATATTATTTTGCATTCAAACTTTGCATCAGCTTTTTCAAGCAAAGTTCTTTTCTCTGTTTCGGTCTGTGCTCGGAATTTGCGTTCCGCGGATGGTGTAACTGGTGGAGGAGCGGCTGCAGCCTATAACATTTTTGATGTCCAAATAAAGATAATAAATAAATATCTAAATATTGTTTCTTAAAAGTTTTCCCAACCTTCCAAATGGCGTCCAAGGCAGCCGGTGTTGCATCGGGAGTGATCGACGATTTCTGAGAGACCGTTGACGAGGTTGTGTCATCTGAAATAGCTGTTTATTATCAAAATAACCCTCTTTTCGTTTCTTAGTTTTATACTTTACATATTAAACATTAAATGACACCTTTTCTCTCAGCTATTCCTTTCTTTTTCATACTCGACTTGAGCGGTCTTAAATTTGACGTGGCTTTGCTCGCGATTTGTCTCAACGGCGTCAAACGGTTCTTGTCCATCAGATCCACAAAGCAAATCGTGCTCGGGGTGATCAATAACTGAAAATAGTGTTTGAAAATAAAGTTTAGAAAGTAAAATTGTAGACAAACTATCAGCTTACATGCGTTGATCGGCCTTGTTCGATTTCGAAGCGATCTTTCAGATTTCGCATCAGCGTCGAGTCCAACTCCTCCAAGGTGATCATCCCGTTGCGAAGGACCTGTAAATGGACATGAATGATAGAATTCTTGATGTATATATATAATATAATTCTTGATAGTATTCATTTGATTGATCTATTCCCACTTGATTCATGACATCGACAACTTTCGGCACGGTTGTTTTCACTTGTTGATTGAGCGCATCAAAATCTCGGAAACGAGCATTGATTTCTTCGGGCTAAAATAGAAATTCACAAAATTTATCTCATGAGCTCATTACCATCTTTGCTGAGCTCTTTGCTGCCTCATAGTCCATCAATTTGTCATTTCTTTTCGTAATCAATCTCTTTGGAATCACTCGAATCGCTTTCAAGCAATCGTCTTTCACTCTAAAATCAAGAATTCACAAATTTTCTGATAAACAAACTTGTAATTGGTTTCTTTCACGAATTCTTGTAAGATCTCAAAGAAGGGTTTGAGTTGTTGCATGGCAGCTTTTTCAGGCATTCGAGAAGCGTCTAAAGTTTTTATGTTTGTGAAAGAAAAACCTGGAAGACTTTGTGCTCATAAACGCACACTTTTTGGCAAACTCAACTGCTATTAGGTTGGCAAGAAAGTTCGTAGAAAAAGTTTCTCAAAAAGGTGATTTCTCAAAAACCATGAATTCTTCCGAGATTTTTTGATAAACTTGACTATATTTCAAAAAGTTTTTGACAAAAAAAATAAGAGATTTCTTCAGCTAAAGTGACTTGGTCACTTTTTGAGTGACCAGCCTTTTAGACAAGTTTTTAATGGGTTTTAATGTATAGGCAATGGGTCCATTCAAAACCTATAATCAAGTACTTAAAATAGGGAAAATTTGTGGTTAAGGCAAATTTTATCTAATGCTTTAACTTTTCAGAATGACCGATTTTAGCAAACACTCAGTGCCAAGAAGATGGCAAAAAATTATTTTTTGAAATACAGCTTTTCTTAAAGAAATTTTTGGTCAAAAATAGAGATTATAGAGCGTATTGCTCATTTTTGCTTGCTTTACCTCATAAGAAATCGTTTTTCTGGTGCAAAAAGTGAGCTGAATTTAAGCTGGAAAATAATAATTTTTCAAAAATCTCTAAAATTTTAAGGGAAAGCAAAAATTATCATTTTTTACATGTAATTTCTCGGAGTCGAATTGTAAATAATAGAATAAAATGTTCTTGAATTGGTGGATTCGTTCTTAAGAAATTCCAATCAAACTTTTTACGAGAACTTTCTTTCCAACCTAATATTATGAACGAGCAAGTTTATTGTGCCAGGAAGCATATGTTTGTCAAAGAAAGAACAAAGCCTTTTCACGTACTTGGTGCCACAATCAAGACTTCAATTTGTCGTTTCATATCGTGTTGCAACTTTTTCTGATAGATCACCAATTGATAGTTGAATCTGAAATCGATACATCAAAGAATTCATTTTCTTTTGTAACCTGACAAGTCTTCTCTCGCATTGATCCAATTCATAAACCATTTGCTCAAACTCGGTATCTTTTGTCTAATCATTGTCATCGTTTTATTCATGATTTCCAGCTTTCTCACCAAATGAAGAATTCCGATTGCACTTCCCATTCGATACTTGAAGCGATTACTTTTCTTCACAACCGAATGCACGGAGAGCCGGGAAAGTTTTTGCGTCAATGTGGCACTCTGCTCTTCGCTATATTTTCTCGCTGAAAATTCTTTGAGTTAACTTACTGTCAAATGTTTTTTCGTTGTTTCTTTAAAGCTTGCTTTGGATATCGTAAGGTATAGCGGTGTTATGAGTTTTATGAATTCTTTGAGTCTCGGATTTATGATAACGAATGAATTACACATTTTTCTATTACCTAGTCATTAGCCATGCATAAAATAGATTCTAAAATGTAGGAATTAATACCTCTAGACCACATTTCATTCTTACAAGTGGATACGAGTGGAGATCATGGTTAGCTTGTCATCTTGCAGCTATTGAGATGGAACTTGTAGTCAGTGCAATATTATCCATGCCAAAACTATCTTTCACATCACCACTATACCCTTCGATAGCCAAAAACTAATAGTGCTTTCATTAAACGAATCTTTGCCGCCATTCAACAAAAAAAGGTAATCAAGCAAGAGAAACAAAAAACAGAAAAGGGAGCGGTGATCTCGAGAGATTGATTTGCGGGGAACATAAAATGTGACTTTTCTTGGACTCAACGAGCAATTCTTGCAGAACACGACGAACGTCCTCATTTTGACAGACTGTTATTGATTGATAGTTTTAAAGACACTGTAAAGCCCAGTATTTTGTCTCTCTACAGTATGCAGATATAAAAGTATTCAAAACTGATAGATTGGATAAAAATTCGAGACAAGATTACGGGTGTTGATGTGTTTTAAAAAAATAAAACTTGAGCTGATGTCTTTCGGTATATTGTAGTGAGACAAACTGAAACTTTATAGCCTTTTTAGCTTAACACTTATAGACACAGTAACCATTTACCCATCTTTTAACACATTCACGACAAAGTCATTTTTGGCTTTTTGCCGTTTAAAACGACAGCTATCTACCGTAAATACTCCTCGTACAATCGCGTTTTTCTAACTCTTTTTAGAAAAGCATTTTTTTTCACAACCCCTAGATTTTTCTCAACTACACTTTTAGTATCAAAAAATACTAGATTTCAAGGGCTATCTTTTGACATCCAAGCGCACACTGTAGCTTAAAGCATTGTGGAGAATGAGACGCTTAAAGTTAGACTACACGACTGTACGCCCGTCATTATGGGATTCTATTAGGGTATTTACGGTGTGTTAGCTGTAGACCTGAAAATTTGTAACTGGAAGCATGAGAATCTGAATCCGTTATTAGTTTTTGAGCAACTTTAATTTCCGAGCCAATACGTTCATCACAAAACTCTCTAAAACTTGGGTAATTAAACCGAATGAAATATTCAAAAAATGGAGCCGTTTTCTTTAAAAACTAATAACGAATTCGAAATCCTCATCCTTGAAAACCCCCGATTACAAATTTTCAGCTCAAACGACCTCAAAAAAGTGTTAGATCCACTGGTGAGCCGTATTCGTCGCGAATGTGTTAAAAAGTGTCTCGAAAAAAGAGAGAAAAATCTTAAACACAATGCACTCACATAAAAGCACTTCGGCTTGAGGCGTGTCCACAGTTTGAAACACTAAAACCCAAAAGGTAAAAATAAACCAGAAATTGAAAAAAAAGAAATTGTTAAAAAAGAGAGCCCATTCCAAAAACGAGATAACGAAAAAAAACGACTACGATTCTCTATAGGATACATCCAACTAAATGTGGGTATATTCTTCGATCATTCGCATGAAATGCCCATGCAAAAGGCCATGCACTTCAAAGTTACTCCTCGTGCATTTAAAACAGTTGAGAGTTTTGACTTTTTCCGAACTACGATTTGGTCTATACGCTATAGGTTGTTCAATTTACCGTAGGTTTTGTCTAAATTGCTGTATTCCTTTTTAATCGTTTCTAAAGTGCACAGAGATCGATACCGTAATCATGGGTGGTAACAACGAAATGTAAGACTTTCTTTATTCTAGTCTATCCGATTTATTCTATCTATTTTATTCTATCAGGTTGGAAAGAAAGTCCTCGGAATTTTTTTTACATTTGGTTTATTAAATCCCTCGAACACGCGACGCAGCTGCTGATAAGTGATCTTGTTTACATCAACCCTCATTCATTGACTACACACAAACCCAAATAAAATACTGCTATTTTCTTGCTTTATTTTTTTTATTTCTTTGGGAGCTGCTTAGGAGCTTCCCGAGGGTCATCTTCGGCATGCCATTTTGTTCTTTGTCAAGAGCAAAGTTCCAAAGTTCCAGAAGTTCTTGAGAAAATCAATACAATTTATGGGCAAGGTTCAATAAGTTTATCGACAGTTTATAAATGGTACGATCGTTTCAAAAGAGGAGACTTTTCCATGGAAGATGTACCGCGGTCAGGTCGCCCGACTGACTTCGATGAAACAGCTCTTGCCGTTCTCTTACAAAACGATAACAAACTGTCTACCCGGGAATTGGGAGAGCAGCTTTCAACCTCTCATACAACAATTCAAACGCATTTTCCCTCAATGGGATATGTCAACCAATTTGGCTCCTGGATTCCCCACACTCTGACTGACGTGATGAGATGGCAGCGCCTTTCAGTCTCGTCTGCCTTTCGCTCAAGAGACAACCGATATTCTTTTTTGCCACATGTGGTGACTTGAGATGAAAAGTGGGTGCTGTATGTCAACTATCGGAGACACAAGAAATGAGTAGGGCCTGCGAAAGAACCAAAACCTGAACCCAAATCCGAACCAGAAGAAGATTCTGTTGAGTATTTGATGGGATCTCGAAGGACCTACACACTGGGAGTTGGTGCCTGAAAAGACAACAGTTACAGCTTTACTTTATACAAATCAACTAGACCGACTCGTCGAAGAAATCAAAAAAACAAGACCAAACAAGGGAAAAGTCCTCCTTCAACACGATAACCTCATGTTGCAAAGCTGACAGAAGAAAAATTAAAGGAGTTGGGCTGGGAAGTTCTCCCTCATCCACCGTTCAGCGCAGACCTTGCCCCTTCTAATTTTCATCTATTCCGGAAGCTGGCTGCAAAACTCAATGGAGAGCACTTTGGAGACCGAGCTGAGGTCGAAACCTGGCTACGCGACTTTTTTGACAGCCAGCCAAAGAATTTCTGGGAGAAGGGAATCCGTGCTCTACCAAATAAATGGCAACAAGTTATAGTTAATAATGGGGCATACCTTGAATAAATTTGTTTTCTAGTTTTTGAAAAATTACAGTACAAACTTTTTCCGAGAACTTTCTTTCCAGTACCGCTACCGTAACCCAACCTTAGCCGGTGGATTAAGTTTTAAAATGTAACTGGATACTGTAGTTGAGAACACTCTTTGAAAGACGTATTCTCGAGAGGAAAACAGTAGGCCGATTACGGTAATTTGGACAAACTTTAGTGTTTTAACTCAAAGTGTGGCTTGAAAAGACTTTAGTCTTTAAACAACTATCTTTAAATATTATTTTTAAAACTTAATAACTTACTAAGCTCCTTTCTTCGTTTACTTTCGTTCATCTTTTGCCCCAGTGTGCTCATTTGTTTGAAAGCTTCGAGGAGTTTTGGGTGATCCGGATGGGTGACACTTGTGTGCTAGAAATGTAGAGGTTTTTAATAATATTTTTAAATATTATTAATCAGATAATTAAATAGAGGTATAATTTTCAAATTACTTTGATAATCTCTGAGAGGAAAAGCGGATATTTCAAGGCTCGATGGACGGGTCGACTGATCGCTGTCGGCACGTCAAAGCACATGCTTCCTGCAATTTTCTGACGGATTAAAGAAATAAATTTTAATAAATGAATCTTTTAAAAGCTTAAAAAATGCTAATGCTTAGTTATCCCAATACTTATTCCAATTTTTCAATTCTCAACTTACCATATGTTCTCATTGACGTTAAAATCTCTCCCATAGCCGCTTGAAGCTTCTTGTCGTTTTTCTGAAAACAAAACTGAATAACTAATTGAGAAGCTGAAATGATATTTAGTCAGTTAAATAGTTTATTTTGAAAAGAAGCTTTATAATCTCCAACTCTCACATTTTCGACGATCGAGTGAATCGCTTCGATGTTTCGGAAAAAGTACCCATACGCTTGGGAGAACATTTTTTGCATATTCATAAAGATCTCTCCGATCTTTTGGCGGTCTATTGGCTCATCTAAAAAGTCTCTACTTTGGTAAATTTGTTTCACAAACCGAGATCGATCTTCAACGTGTCGGCAAGTAGCAGAGAGACCTCGACAATTTGTGGGATCCCACTTGTGAGCACTCGTTTGTTCTTATCGGATAACTTGTTCGAATGGGCCACTGCCTGAAATTTGGCATTAATAATTGGACATTTTCCTCAACCTTTTCCAAAGATTGCATATCGGTGCAGTAGGCTTGTTCACTCGCGATGAGCTCATTTATCACACGATTCCTCTCGGCGATGTTCGTTGTCGCAGAGTTTGAGCTCAAAACGGTGGTGCTTGTGGAAGGAGTGACCTGGAAAAGGAAAGTCTATTTTGATAGATTAATTTTGATATTACTATAGATATATTTATAATAGATATTGCTTTAGATAACCAAATACTTAGTACGGCTATAGATATAGATGCTATAGATAACCAAATATTAGGTACTTGCAAAAGAAACTGCGGGTCATTAAAACCATCATACAACGACTGTAAGTAAAGATGATCTAGATTGATTGGTATTTTTAAAAATCACAATATTTTTTCTTTTTAACGATATAAAAAGAATTTTACAAAGCTTCATTTTGGAAGGCCAGTAGAATTTTCAAAAAAAAGGTACCAAAAATGGCTTGGCGGAGCCGAATTTCAACTTAAGCTTTCTCCACGGCTTTTCAGTAAAGATTTTGTCAATAATATGACAGAAGTTTATTAACTAAAACAAATAAGATACAAAGAATTTTTATAATAGAATAGTCCACCAAATTTGTTTTAGTTTTCTGTAAATAGCTTCTATTAAGTTTGAGCTTCTATTATAGCTTCTATTAAGCTTCTGATCTGTCAATAATTTAGACCAGGGTTTCGTCAAAAATAATCCTTTGTTACCTTCAAATAATTCAAATCGTTTTTTGCTACGTTGTTGAAACGTATATATTCCGTCTTCCAGAAACGATCACTGTAGAATTCTTTTTATACCCTTAAATATTGTGGTTAAAGATATTGTGGTTTCTAAAAATACTAATCGGATTATCTGAATTATCTTTACGTACAGTCGTTGTACGGTTTTTATCACTCGCAGTTTCTTTTGCAAGTACCTAATAGTACAACTCAGGACTTTGAACGGATAAATTTCACTGGTACTAATTAAATCTTTCAGAGTTTTCCCCGCTTTAACCAGGCTACAAACATTGATATGATTTACCCCAGTTTTGGGCGTTGTCTCGCTGAATGAAGCCCAAGGGATGCTTCCCGAATCCGGGCTTGTCGGAAGAGCTTTTGGTGGTGGTGGACGAGCAGGTGGAGGCTTTTTATCCTAAAAGTTTTTGTATTCCTACCCAAAAATCCTTTTTAACCTCAATGCTTTTTGCGATGTCCCATTCTTCAAACTTTGCCCAAGAAGAGTTCGAAGGGAGAGCGCTACTTTGTGGGCCTTAATTTGCAATCACATTAGAAAAACTCCTTCCCCCAACCTGGCAATGTGTTGAATTGAGTGTTGAATGTGTTCTGATAGATGTTATTCGATTGGTTGATCGTTGAAGAACCCCACTAAATCATTTGGATTCGGATTTGATTCTGATCGTTTACCCCTGAATCGTTGTCCCTTAAATTCTCATGTACGCTTTCGGCCAGCTCTTCCACATCGTCATCGAGATACATTTCGAGGAAATTGCTTGGAACGATTCCAACTCGATCCGATAATGGTTCTCTACACAAAACCCATTCATTGTCGATCTGTAAACTGAGTTTATTAGCATTTTCCAATGAAGCTGACCATTCTAATGATTCTGACACTGTCTCCGGCTTGTAAGGTGAGCTCATCGGTTTCTCGGCCATTGAAAGCATGCTTCACGGTGGCTACTCTAAAATGACTAGCTTGTAATTCTTGTCTCAAATCAAATTTGCAAAAAGTCTAACTTCTATCCAATGAACTAACCCAATTCCCTCATCTTGAGTCGACTGGGCAACACTTTTTCGGGCATCCGAACTCCCATTCTTATCCGTATCCAAATCAACGACAATCTAAATTATGATCCTCAAATATTTACCGATCTTTGCCTCATACCTGTGCATATCCACTCGGGAATATCCCCGTTCTTCCATTGATCTCTCCCTCGAGCCAATCTTGATCAACTCGTCGAAGCAACTTGATGATTTCATTGGCTCCGAATGAGAGTTCATTCGAATATTCTCCCCTGAACTGATTGTAAAGCAAAAGTTTTATGATCAGAGTGTTCCTTGCGAGTAATGCGTTTTTTGTAAAACGCACACTTGGGAAAAATTACCGTACTTCAACAAAAATTATTGCAAAAAATTGGCGCGAAAAAATCACGAGCCGCCTTATATACGAAGATATTCAGCTGTCTAACTGATTTGGTGGCAAACTCCTTTCAAATGTAAAGATATTCAATTTACTCGACGTGTAAAGAGAATTACACGTAGTTACTCGACTAAAAACGTCGATTAATCGAGTAAAAATCACTCATGCAAACTTTACTCGAATAATTACTGACTCGCGAAGTACACTATTTATGAAAGCTTACTGAAATGGGAATGCTGATCGTGCATATGGTCCAATGGCTTCATTGATTGTGTGAGTGCTTCGAGCGGACATCTGAAAGGTAAAGGTGCTTTGTGATTGTGGCGATAAAGTCAAGCCTAATGACACTGAATTTGTGGGTAAAATTGTGCGTAATCCAGTTCAAATGGAAAGCCACCTTCTAGTTCTTGAATCTTTAGCAATTTGAACCTTAAATTCAACAAACCGTTGGCAATGACGGAGCAACACGGGGTGACTGAATCGAGTCACTGTTATCGACGGGCTCACCACCGACCGGGACACCCTGAAGATTTCTCTTGCCTTTACACTATTCCTGGATAACTAACTGGCAATTCTTGAACATAACTCGTGGGAAAGAGTCCACTTTTTCCTAATCTTTTCCCAGCGTCACTCGTTATTGCACCACTCGACCAATTGTCGTCGATATCCCTAGAATTGTTAAATGCTTTCATTTACAACTTCTGTCGTACCTCTCCACGGTGATAAGCTGATTTACATCAAAAGACAGATCGTCTTTTTCTTGGCCTTCGAAGGCAGCAATCGAGACGACTAGGCGCTCGGATACTGATCTGAAATTAGCTCTCATTTATCGAAGCTCTAAGTATTGATCACCTTAATGTCAAAGGAAGTTTGTTGGTCAGCGCTTTTGGTGATCGTCCGTTTGTCCCAGTTAATGTTTGGATTTTGTACCTTGAATGATTTATAAGTTTATGTGAAACTATTGCTTTTTACCATTCTTGATCATGATCACTGCCTATAATGCGCACGATTTGATCTTGTGCGAGTGCGAGGCCAGATTGAGGATCGACAAACCCATTGGTGACTCGGGCATATGCTGGTATTTGAGCCATTCTTGCATCGATTACCTAGAAGTTGCGATTTTCTTAAATAGCCATCCTTAGATTTTCTTACAAAAAGATATTCAGTTGAATGATAGAAAATTAATTTCGAAACATTAAATGACTATAAACACTTTTTGTTGAGCAATTAATTGGATTAATTAATTGTCAGTCTTTCAATATCATTTAACACGTTAAACGTTTTAACTTGGTTTTATGTCTTTGTTTCGCTAGGCATTGCGCAAAAGTCGAAAAGAAATGCACTTGCAATTGTTTTTTGTAAGTGTCACCGCGCCTAGACGTTGAAATAATCGCGAGTAAATATCATTGAAAGAAAAGTACGAAGTCCACAACAATAGCAAAACAAAAATTCATAGCACTAACAAAAAAAAGTGCGACGCGAATAAAACGAATAAAAAATGCGGTTGTTGTTGAGAGGGGAAATGGAGAAAATCAATAGAAGGGCCTGGAGGGGAAAAGACCAAAAAGAAGGGGCCCCACACATGTGCCGCAGCTGTGCCTGCGGGCAAAAAAACGGGCTTGGTTAAAGGCTTCAGAATTTTTTTCATATTTAAAAGCTTTGGCCACACAAATTTCCCTTGTTTTTGGCGTGTCCAATCGTTTTCCATCTCCTTTTTTCGTGTAGACTTGATCTACAGACTACGATCGCAAACACAAACACCTAAAATCTCTCTCTTTCCCTCGGAGAGTCCGCCCAAAATTTTGTGGCAATTGATTTACGTTTCATCACATGCACTTTATGCATTGCCCAACTTTATTTTCTTGACTTGAAACTTTTATTTTTGACATTGCTTTAAGTTAATCATTCTTGTTTGTTTTCAGGACTTTCGATCTCTCGATTGCAGCAAAATGGGCAAAGGAAGGAATAAGAATCGAGACAACGAGAATACGTTGGCTTTTGGAAATGCACCAAAAAAGAAAGGTAACTTTTTCGTTAACTACTTTAAAAGGTTAGTTGAGCTGAATTAAAATTGTTTCCTTGATGGTTTAATCTTTATGCGTTTGTTAAACCGTTACGCATGTTTAAATAGCTAATCACATGCCCGTTAATTTTATTTATTTAAGATAAAACGGAGGACTTTGAATCTGATAGTGATGAATCGGTCTCTACCCACATCACTTTTGATGATGATTTGCAAAGTGTTCGAGGTAAAGAAAGATTATTCAAATACATTAATCTTTTCACATTTAGGCGACATTGATGGTGATGAAGAAACGTTGATTGACACCCTCAGTGAACATGTGGATAATGCTACACACAAAAAGTAAGATGATCTTTGTGTTTTTTAAAACAAAATTGCTTTTTAGCATTGGCATCCGTACAGCTGCTCTGAAACATCTTTTGTTTGGACTTACTTCACGGTTTCTCAGTAAGTTTTTAAATTGTTTGCGGTGATAAGCTCTGTAACATAAAATTAGAAAGGATTTTATAATATATTTTTAGGGGATTTCATTGCAAAATGGCGAACAACGCTCATCGATATTGCAACGAAAGGACTGCGGAAAACTGATGAAGAAGTTCTTCTTTGTGCTTCTCTGCTCACTTTGGTTTCATTGCAAGCCGGTTAGTTTTGTGTTTGCTTTCAAATTTTTATGTTAAATTTTTTAGGCAACGATGTTTCGGGAGATATTGAAGATGCTCTTGCACAATTACGAGTCATTGTTGCAAATCCAGCGAAATCAGAGGTTGGACCGACCTGATCTGTTGTAAACTAGATTTCTTTAGGCTATTCGGGCACATTGTGCGTTATGCCTCGCTTTGGCTACATTTGTTGGAACAGACAGTGAAGAAAGCACAATCCAAGCTGTTAGGGTAAGTATTCGTTGTGCTTGCGATTAATAGAAAATTTGTATCTTTTAGACACTGAGGCAAGCATGGGCAGGCACAAAGTCGACCACAACTTCGTGGAGACTTTTTGATATCGCACTTTCAGGATGGGCTTTATTGTTGCAGGTTTGGACTTGCCGTGCCATGGTTCACATCAATTAATTACAGAACTGCGCAAGTGAAGCCTTTTCTTCGGCTGTTGCAGAACAACCAAAAATCGTATCTTATTTGGAGGCAAACTCCATGGAGATTCGAGTTGTTGGTAAATATATGTCATTTTTAAATTGTAATTCTGCTTTTAGCTGGAGAAGTTTTATCCTTTCTCTACGAGTTTGTTGATGAATATCAAGAAGGCTTTCGATTTCCAAATCATAACCATCTGATTGAGGTACTTTTTGATTAATGACGATTATGGAACCTTCGTTTAGATTCTTGGTGGTCTACTTAGTGACAGCACGAAATCAAAAGCAAAACGAGATAAACGAATTCAGAAGTTCACGTTGAGGTTGTTTGTCCTTAAAATTTTGCATTGTTTTGAAATTTTTAGACAAGTTTATTCATTCATCAATGGCGGAGAATTTCCTTCACTGAAGATCAAGTTCAGCACACAAGAAAGTCTCGAATTAAACTCTTGCTCAAGCAAATTACTCTACGATCTTTGCACAGATGTAAGTTGTTTGTGTCACGGATATTGACTTGTTTCTACAGCCTTGGTTGTTAACGTGCGCTTTTAAGCTTGTTATTTAGCTCCTTCGAGGAGGCATGATGCAACAACTGAAAGAGAATGAGTTTCTACGGGAACTTTTTGAGTTGGGTCCACCAGCGCCGCCTGTGACATCGGATGAACGGATATCAAAAGCCCATCGGGTAGGCTATGTTTGCGTTTTTGAGTAGAAATTTTCTTTGCTTATAAATGAACATGATGAAATTTTTAAAATTCTAGTTTATTAAAAAGCTGGCATTTAGATGGCAGTTCACGATGCAGCATCAAAAGTCCGAAATCAACAACGAGGCAAGCAACGAGACAAGCGGATGAATATCGATTATTGATGCGTGCCGTCTTGACCAAAGCCTATGCAAATTTAAACTTAATGGTAGGCTTTTCATGTTAGGAGAATTTTGAAAATTTCGTTCTAATATGGCCTTCATCGTTTCTGCTTTGTTTTAATTCTTTGAGCGCCTCCAACTCATTGGCATTTTAAGATTTTTTTTTTCACTTTTACTTTTGTTTGTAAAAGATTTATTCCCTGCAGGGCATGTGTGTTTTTGGCTTTTCAAAATTTCTTTCTTAAACTCTACTACTTTCATTTCATGTCTGGGTTGTACTTTCTCCGGTTTATTAGGTGGACTCAGTTTGGCTTTTCGTGTAGCTTTCTGAGTTAATTTTTCATTCAATTTACATAAACTGCCCAATTTTGTGTAGTACAAATTGAGTTCACCGCTTGAATAACTAATTCTCCAAATGAATTCCCGTTTTAGGCCAAGTATTATCATGTATCACAATGTGGTTAGATTCGCTAGGTCCTTTTGAATGAGAAATTTTATTTTTTTGTTGTATAATTTTTCAATTGTTTTATTAATAAAGTTTACGTTAAAAACACTAAAAAAGGTACAGTTTTTAGAAGTTTGAACGAAATCGGGTGGAAGCTAAGACATTGTTGACTTCAAATTTGTTAGATGTTAGCTGATTTCGAGTTACCGGCGATGAATTCATCTTTTCTTCATCCCGTCTTCTTGCCTTTTCATCATTTGTGTCGGTGTGGGCAGCGAATGTTTGTTTTGTTTGAGTTGCTTCTTCTCTTTGGCTCTTCTCGTCGTTTTTTTTTGCTTTAGGTTCATCTCTTCAACACAGTTACTTCTTGCCTTTTCTTTTTTCTAAAAAAGAATACTCTCCAGGATGACTTCTCTTTCCTGCCGTGCTTTCCTCTTCACTCAATCCACCCTCAGCCGAGAGAAACCGCAAAAAAACTCCTTTCATCACAAATTCACAGCTTTTTATATTTTTCAAGTACTACAAAAGTTTTGGCTTCAAATTGATAACATGTTTATCCTTTTTTGCATTACCTGTAACTTTTTCTCCATTAACTCCCAGGTCTCTTTTCAAAACGAAATTTCCCTCTTTTGATGCAGAGTTCCCCCGCACACAACACAAAAAAATCGTTTTTCGGCGATCCGATCAAAAATTTCTCTACCTGTCAAATGGGATTTACAATGGTTATGTCAACCTCTTTCTATTGCCAATCTCCAAAACAGTTCTCTTTTAAATTTAAAAATCAATATTTCTATCGATTAGCTTTCCTTTTTTTTCAGGGAATGCTCTACCCCTTAATAGTTTGGGCTTTTTTGTGTCTTCAGCAAGTGAGCGGGAAAAACGTTTTGGTGTACAGTACGACTATCGGGTGAGTGTCTGTTTTTGGTATTCATATTTATCACATTTGCATGCTGTAAGGTCGACAGTAGGCAACCGTAGGCTTAATAAGCTTTTAGTATCGAAAGTCACGGTTATGGTAAAACACTCCAGGGTGTTCAAGAATTACGGGCACTTTTTCTCAAGTGCGTAGCTCGCCTACAGTTAACCATTCCCCATAAAACTTTTTTGGTAGAATTTACTGCTTTTTTCAACACTTTACTTCGATACTTTACTCAGAAACTCAAAATTTGGCAATTCTATAGAACTTCAAATCTCCAAAACTCGAGAGCCTCTGGGACACGGACCAAATTTTGAACTTAAAGAATTACTTTAATAATGACTACCCGATCATGAATGAAACACTTGTAAATACCTAAATTATAAATTTGAAAACCTTTTGAGCTACCCTAGGCGGAGCTACGCACCAGAGAAAAAGTGCCCGTAATTCTTGAACACCCTGTAGACAAATTGAACAATCAAGTTCACAGACACTCTCACGTGAAATTCCACAACAAATTGGCGGATCTGCTGGTGGATGCCGGGCATAAAGTGGTGAGATTGGAACAAGGTTAATATTGAAATTTTCATAATTAAAGGTGATTCTGTTGAGTGAACAAAATCCGAATATTAAAATCGGAGAGACGAAAGCTGAGGTGATCACCGTGCCCGCCTCGGAGGAAACGATCGCTATTCAGGTTTGGAGACGATCAAAATGTGCAATAAGCCGACATTTATCGTAATTACATTCAACAGAATGCCACTATATACTCGACCTGATACTAGATGAATTTATGCATCAAGTGGGCTAGTTTTGCAGCCAGCTTAGTACCTGATCCAATATTTTATTTTATAATACAGCAGTTTTTGGATTTGGTAACAAGTCAGTAACCCTGGTACTGCAAGTACTATATCTGTAGGAGCTGGGAATAGACTGCAAAATGGACAATTGCTAAATCTTTTAATATGAATTGTTTATCAATAAATTGAATTCTTGTAAAATTTATACGGATTCGAAGGGTTAAACCCCAAAAAGCAAACTAAAAACTAAACCTGAACGATTACTCAAGCTTCAAATTCCAGGATGCCGGCGAGAAAGCGACCCTGGTCGGCTTTTGGACCTCGGACATTCACGACTTGTCGAGTGCCATCTCAGTTTCTATTGTATTTTTAAATTTTAAAGCCATCTTTTAGGTGTTCAATGAGATCTCCAACATGGCCACCTCGCAATGCCGAAGTAGTTAAGTAAAACCCAAAAGTTACAGAGATTTCAGAGACTTTGGCCTTTCCTGGTTTGTTCGATCGCTTAAAGCAGCATGAATTCGACGTGGCCCTCTCGGAGAGTTGGGATCTTTGTGGATTTGGTTAGTAATTAAAAATTGATAAAAGCTATGAATTTACAGGATTATTTTATCAGCTGGGAATCACGAAGTACGCGGTGACAATGACGAATCATTTGGAGGAGGGAGCTGCTGCCATTCTTGGAGTCCCGAATGCTCTGTCTTGGGTTCCAGGTTGAAATCAGAAACATATGTAATTACGGTAGCTTTTCAAAGATAAAAAGGCATAAATCAAATATTTTCTTTTCTAAAACGTGTCAATTGTCGAAAACTGCCGCAATGCTTGCCTCAGCTTGTTCAATCTTCGTTTAAATCTGTGAAAGTTCATGAAAGTTATCAAAAGATACAGAAGTAGATGGATAACGGAAGGATTGCGGTAGTTTTTGAAAGGTGAAAGATTTTAGAAAGAACAAAGGAGTTTAAAAAATTTTATCTTTGGTAAAAGTGTATCAAATACCATTCTACTACAACTCTTGCCCTTTCAGCTGTCGAAATGGGCACCACGCCAAAGATGAGTTTCATGGAAAGAATCCAGAACCTTCGAGCTGCTCATATTAGTCATGAAGTGATTTCCCATGAAAAACTGAGCTCTAATAAACCTTTTCAGATTTACGATCTTCTCATCAACAATATGCAGAGCATTTTCGACGCGAAATACGAAGAATTCGCTTCGTTTAGAGTCGGAATGAATTGGGTTTTCAGCAAGCATTCTATTAACTTTTAGGACTTGTTAGCGAATTCTTCGCTGATCTTCACGAACAGTGATCCACTTATCGATTTTCCAAGACCGACACTTCACAAGGTTTTTATCCAATGTACATATACTGTAAAAGTCCAGCTCTTTCACTACAGTAGACTAAAATCAAAACTGAATATCTTTAACTCTAAAAGCTTTTAGATATTCAGTCTTAAGACTTTTTCTGGCATACTTTAGTGAGTGTATCTTTAAGAAAGAATCAAACAACCACTTTTCAGGTGATCGACTTGGGTGGAATCACAGTACCTCCTCGGTTCAACAATCTCACTTCGGTATTTGTTAAAATTTAGATTCCAAATAACATTTCTTTTCAGGATTGGGAGAAAATCCTTTCGAGAAGATCGCGAACAGTTCTTGTCTCTTTTGGTGAAGACTTTAGACACTTTCATAACTGTATCAATCTAGGCACGGTAGCGAAGGCTTTTGCGATGCCCGACGACTACAAGAAAGGAATCATGGGAGCGATGGACGAGTTTCCTGATGTGAGACAAGTTTACTTTGTCATTATACCGTCACTGAGCTAAAGCTGATGGCACTGAAAACGAAAATAAATTACACTTGCAGGTAACATTTATCATGAAATACGAGAGACCCGAGGATGGACTGGATGGCGAAAGAAAAAATGTGGTGTTGACAAGATGGATGCCACAGAATGAACTGCTCGGTAGGTGGATTATTTCTATGATCATTCATAGCTTATCCAACATCTGACAATTAGAGAAAGTTAGAGCTCTAAGAATCTTCGCAAGATCTACGAAACTAATACAAGCAAACAAAGCGTTGAAAAATTAATTTAATCATTGCTTAGGCGATGATCGAGTCGTGGCGTTGATTACTCATTGTGGAGCTGCCAGTATGCATGAAGCTGCGGCTCGGGCCATTCCGGTAAATGATGAAAAAGATTACTGTAGAAAAATGATAAGATAATCGGATATTGTCAGTTAGCCTACAGTGAAAGCAACACCCCCAACAGCTCAAAATTTGGCTCAAAATCCCAACAGCATCACTTTTTCGATAGGTTGTGGCGATTCCACTCTTTCACGATCAGATGCGAAACGCTCGCCTCATCGAGAATGCTGGTTTTGGAGTAATGTATGTCGTAAATGAAAAATGCATTAACTTTTAAGTTCAGCTTCGACAAAATGAAGCTCGGTGACAAGGGTGCTTTGGCTGAAGCGATTCGAGAAGTGATTGACACGAAGAAGTTAGTAAAATAGATTCAGAGCTAAGCCGAGATGACATTTAGATACAAAAAACGAGCCGATGAAGTCTCCGGGATGATCCAGAATCGACCATTCACAAGCGAGGAGCTTTTCGTGAAAAATGTCGAATTTTTGGCTGCTCACGGGCCACTGAAGAACTTGGATCCGTATTCGAGGAAGATGGGCTGGGTGAGGAGTAGAGTGCCATTTAGAAACGACACTTACAAATAGTTAGAATCGCGAATAATCAAACTCAAATCACCTACGTAGTGCTAATGTTACTGTAGTCCTAAATGGGCCATGGTAAGATCTAAATATTACATCGATTTAGTCAAATTCTCAGAGAAATGCATTCAGCCAATTCCTTCGTATAGATTTTTCTAGGTTCTTATGAAAAACACGTGTTTTCACTCTCGAATTTGCTTGAAATTGAGCCCAAAGTGACTTAAAAAGATAGGAAATTGAACAATAAACACTTTTTATTTAGAGCGAAATATAGATTAATTGGTGAATTTGTTATTTTGCAACGAAAGTACGAAAAGGAACGAAAAGATTTATTCACCAACCTAATAAGTGCGATTTATCATTTAGCTCGAATACTACAATGCGGATATTGTGCTGGCCGCCTTTGGAGGAATCGTATTTATTTTGGTGAGATGAAAAAGCAGTAACTTTAGGAGTTAGGAGTTTTGCAAAGACTGAGCTTTTTAACTTCAAGTGTTCCCCAGTATTCTCCCAATTTCCAGATAGCGTTCGCTTTATGTTTGTGCTTGGTGTGTTTCTTCATCCAGCAAAGACGAACGAAATATCGGAGATGCGATGATCCTGACGATTATTTCTTGCACTCGTAAAGGCTTTGATAAATGACTATTCACATGTTTTCATTTTTTGCATCAAGAATCTCGAAAATAAATCTCTGGGAAAATAAATGATCATTATGCAAAAGTAGCTTGAAAAATTCTATTTAGAGCGACATTAAAAATCTAAGAATATCATCTCAAAGCTCTCACAAAATACTACAAAAAACTAATTGGGATCGATTTATTTGGATGCGATCTAACGGGAGAAAAATGAGAAAACATTCGTTGGCCAAGACTTTTTTGACGACTGTATCTATCCAGACTTTTCTGTGACTTTGATAATCACAGAAATCTCTGTGACTCTGATAGTCACAGACTCCTCTAACACAGATTTTCACAAGTTACAGAGATTTAAGCGAATTTTTTCTCATAGTCCTGCCGTAGCTTTGCCTGATAATCTGTCTACTCAGACAAGTCACAGAGATTTTTGTGATGATCTGAGTCGAGATTCGATACAAAAGTCACAGAGATTTCTGTGAACAAATGAACAAAAACAAACAAATTAAAAATATTCAGCTGATGGACCTTATAATACCTTATAGCTTATAATTCACAGCAAATCTCGCAGTTTTTTTGCTAAAAAACGTCTTGTACTCGCGCTCTTGAAGTCGCTTGCTCGAAATCATTCCACCTTTCTCACCATTTCTTTACAATTTAAAAGTATTCGATCAAAAATTGTTAAAATTATTTGACTACCGTAATACCTTTAATAGTAGCGCTCCCCGTACAGCCGCATAGTCTTAAAAACTTTTAACTAAATCATTTCTTTCTAAGCGCCCATAATTTCTAAAAACGCATTTTTGGTATCAAACAATAGCCCTGAATTTCAGCTTTATACTTAAGCGCACACTGTAGCATAAACGGGTGGCGAGAAAAATGCGTTTAAAGTTAGACGACGCGACGCTCCGACCGTCATTATGCGGAGGGGGCGCTACTGTTACAGGTATTACAGTAGTAGCTAACAATCATTTTCGCAACTTCATACTTCTCTACCTAGATTTTCGCATTTTTAAAATCATTGACACTGCTTGCTGTCTTTTTATTTTTTATTGTGGAAATTTACTTTACAATGCTTTTTCACGTACAATTTTAGGTACTTTGGTGGTTGGGAGGGGCCACTTTTATCCTGGCTTAGTTAAAGCTCATGTTTTGAGTTATTGTATTGATCCTTTTATCTATTCTAGAATAATCAAATATGCTTGATAGATTGGTGACTATTTTAGCAAGTTTTTGGCAATTCTAGCCTAATCTCATGTACCTTAACCACCAAACGCTACCTCAAGCTGCTTAGACTTGAAAATCAAATAATATGAAACTGAAAGCAATATGAAACTTGAAACATGTTGTAAATGCGCTAAAAGTATAAGCATATTTGATTACCCTAAAATAGGTAGATAAAAGGTATCAATACAACCACTCAAAACATTAGATCCAATTAAGCCAGGATAAAAGTGGCCCCTCCCAACCATCAAAGTACCGTCTTTTTAAGTCTTCTAAAGTTTTTTTATTTCAGATAACGATGCCGTCATCGGAGCGGCTACGTCGTGAACAACCAAAAAGTCGCGAACAAGAGCGAAGAAACAATCAAGCGGACGAACAGGTGTGTTACTGCGTCATTTTGTTGCCGTAGAGTTATATTTTCACAGTTTTTTGCTTTGAGTTGGTCTGTTGGATTTCAGTTTCCACTTTAGGCAACGGGTATTCGGCTCCAAAATCAACACCAAAGCACAGGGGCATCTATGGATGATGAACAAGTTGGTAGTTTGCTTTTGCAATTTTCTATTTGTAATTAGTTGCGGTAGAGTATAAGTAAATTCGTCACAGCACAGTGTAAGTAAATTGCTATTGTAAATCTTTGTTTGTCCCTGGTACAATATAATTTAACAGTTGTATAGAAACATTTGTACAATGGTAGATTGAAAATATTCAAGCTTTCAAGTGTCTAGTGAGCACCCTTGTCATACGCTTTGCTTGAGTTGCATATTTTTGATGATGAGTTAAGATATTATAGAATCAATTAAGGCACCATTGTTCAACTCTTTAAATGCCATTGGTAAAGTCTATCACGTTACCTCGTTGATCATGACCATTAAAAATATGGACTTTTTGGGGGAAAAATAAGAGAGAAGACAGAGAAAAATGGCGCGAATCTGATTCATTCAAAAATCTGCCCTTGCACCATGAAAACGGCTAAACCAAGCTCATGCTTTTAAAAATTTGTATTTTTTCAAACTTAATTACCTTAAAATCTATTTTACATAACCTTAATAATTTATTTATTTGATAGTACTTTTTTCAGAAAATGAAGAAAGGACAAACGCCAACGAAGAATGTGCAAGTGTGCGTGAGGATCAGGTATTTTCATGGATTTCGTATTATTTGTAAAGCAAAAGTTTAAGTGCATATATTTTCTAGATAATTCCAACGCTAAATCGTTAGCAAAATACCATTCAGCCATTTTTAGACCTGTGATGGATCGAGAAGCAAAAGAGGCGATAAAATGTGCGAAGAATGACCGAACGATCACGGTTAAGGGGAAGATTTATGGGCCATTTGATCAGGTGAACAATTTAAAATTTAGTCCAACATCTATAAATGCTATTTTTTTCAGGTATTTCCCGAGACGACTCAACAACCCGAGGTGTACGATAAGGTGGCGAAAAAGCACGTCGAGCTCGTCCTCGCTGGCTACAACTGCACCATATTTGCGTGAGTTCAAAAATTGGATACGCGAACTAACTTTACTAACTCCATCACATTATTGACCAGATAATTCGTCTATGGCTATTGTTCTATATCTATAGTACTCAAATTCTTAACTATAAGGATATCACTCCCAAAAAAGTATTTCTTATCACCTGCTTGCCTTATGGATTACATGACAACCTGGCCTGGCTTACAGTCATGACTTAAGTCTCAGTTTGAACCGGAACTCAAACTAGAACTAGAAACTAGAACAAACGGAACCCAAAACACTAGAAGCTCTAGTTAGATCCCTGGTTTTGTTGTATCCAACCAATTTATCTTTGGTTTTCAAAATGACTTGTAAATTTTGTTATTACTGTCATTCTAGTAGAGAACTTAGCTATTTTTTTAGCTATGGCCAAACTGGCACTGGCAAGACGTACTGTATGGAGGGTGGAGCTGATAAAGCGTACTCGGGAAATTGGAAAACCGATCCAAATCTTGGAATCATTCCACGAGCAATGGAGCACATCTTTGATACACTGGAGGCTGAGGTTTAATAAAAACGATCCATCTACACATTAACAAATTACAGGGAGTCGAAGAATACTGTGTGAGAGTCTCGTATCTTGAGATCTACAATGAGGAACTCTTTGATCTGTTGGCCGCAAATCATGAGGAGGGAGAAAGATTGAGATTGTTTGAAGATCCGATCAAGAAGGTAACAATAGTGATATTTATGGATAAGCATTTTTCTTTTGTGCGGTTGTATAATACTAATCAGTCAACCATTTTGGACTCTGACTTGCCTTGTCCTGGCTACCTTTTTAACCAACTCGGACATCTAGTTAGCTACTGTTGGATATTGATAGGAAGTCAAGCAATTCGTGTGTTTTAATGTCATTTAAGCTCGGGACAACGAAATTCTTTAGGGATCCGTAATCATTTCGGGAGCCGAAGAAGTGCCCGTTCAGACGAGAGAAGAAGTCTTCAAAGTGCTTCAACGCGGTGCGGAGAGAAAAAGAATGGCGTCAACACTGATCAACAATCGGTCAAGGTTTGTTTATACGATAAATGATACAATATACCGTAAATTGTATCATTTATCGCTCTAATAGAAGCCCCCTATAGGAGCGTCGCGTAGTCTAATTTTACTCTCAAACAAACGCTCATATCTCGACACCAGTACGTTTATTTCTGCGTGCTTAGGTATCAAATTAAAGTAGAGAGGATAGGTGATTTTTGTGGTAAAAAAGTGGCAAAAAAGCCGATTTTTCATCATGTTTCAATCATTTTGTTCTAAGTGCTGGTTAATGCTAAAAATATGTGCGATATCTCAAAAAATTACCCATCCTCTACTTTAATTCGATACTCAAGCGCGCCAAAAACAAATGTCTGAGCGCCGAGATATGTGCGATTCTTTGAGTGTAAACTTAGACTACGCGATGCTCCTATGGGTGGGGGCTTCTATTAGAGTATTTACGGTAATTGCTATTATGTACTGCAGCTATATCACAAAAATCCACCATATATCAAATCATATGATTCAGTCGCTCACACTGTGTCTTCGTTGTCAATATTGCCACTCGTGAAACAACACTCGAGGGTGAAGAGCTCGTTCGTCAAGTGAGTCTTTGATTCTAGCTTTATATCCGTATTCTATAGGCAAATTCAAAATTGTCTGTTAGAACATAAGCTTAAAGACTTGCAGAATATTGTGTACAACTTTGCAGGGTAAATTGAATCTCGTCGATTTGGCCGGCTCGGAGTCGATCGGTCGAAGTGGAGCTTCCGGAGCTAGGGCAAAAGAAGCAGGTTTTGAAGACCTTAAAGGCATTGGCGAATGAATCTTATTTTCAGGAAACATCAATCAGTCATTGCTCACATTGGGAAGGTGCATCACCGCATTGACGACAAATGCTGGACATGTTCCGTACAGGTAGAGGGATAGACTGACCTCAAGGCTGTGTCGAGTTTTGAAAACTACCGTAATCCCTCGAGCCGAGATAGATTGAACAAAATGTAGAATACGGTAGTTTTCGAAAATCAACACGTTTTAGAAAACATATTATTTGAAAATTTGCAGTTTCTTGTGATTTTCAGAGAATCCAAACTGACTCGCCTTTTGCAAGACTCGCTCGGTGGTTCAACGGTGACAACAATCATCTCCACAATTTCCCCATCAAGCTCTTCGTTTGAGGTAAAGCGCTATTATCAGTCTAAACCATCATTTTGTTAGGAGACAATTTCTACCCTCGAGTACTCCTGTCGGGCCAAAAACATTCGCAATCATCCGGAGATCAATGAGAAGCTCTCCAGAAAGGATATGCTCAAGGTTTGTTGAAAATATCTATTTTATCCAAAAAGATTATTTCAGGAAATGTCGAAAGCTATCGAGAAACTCCAACGCGATCTCCGGTCGGCACGGGAGAAAAACGGGATTTACGTTTCGGAGGAATCATATCAGTATGTTTGAGCAAAAAATGAAGCAATTGAGTTTTGATATAGGGGAATGGAGGAGAAGATTCGCGAACAACAGCAAACTATTGAGGAGCTAGCTGGAACCCTCGAGGCGACAATGCAAAAGTGTAACTTGGTTAGTGCTAGCCTTGGTGGTAGCAGGTTTTTAGTTTCCGCTTCATTAACCTTATCAGTACAAGTATTCAAGCCAGTACCAACCTTGGCAACCTTACCAGCAAACCACCATATCATGCTTGTCGGAATCAGGCCTCCGTACCAGTTTACACCTACTAGTATCAGCCTTATCTTTACCAGGCTTGTACTAAACCTTGAAGCCGGTACTAACTAGTACTACTTCCAACCCAAACCTAATTCTACCTTCGCTTTCTCGGCCGTTTCTTGGCCGATTGCTCTGAAATTTTGTCTACAGATAGAAATCGACATTTTCAGCATGTAGACAAAATTTCAGCAATCGGGCAAGAAAACGAGAGTGGAAGTAGGTTTTGTCTGGAATTTCCCCATGTCTAGTACTAACCATAGCAATCTTCCCAGCACGAGCCATGTCAGCTATATCATCAAAACCTGGCCTTAATAACAGCGTACAACTCCACAAACTTGTACCAGTCTTATCAAACTCACCAAGATCAAACACTTGTACCCATACAGCTTCAATATTAATAACCAATACCAAATGCTGTAGATGTTCGAAGACATGGAAATGATGGACGCACAATATCGTTCATTATACGAACGTCGGATGATCGTGGAGGATCGGTTGAAGCAGAGGGTCGATGAAGTACAATGCACAAAGAAGGTTCTAATTAATCTGGTTTTTGTAGTATTTTGTTTCAGGAACTCCTCGACTCACAGACTCTGGCTGCTGCTTTGCAGAGCAGTTTGGATGTGATGCACGAGGTGGCGTTGAAGCTTCGGTCACAGGCAACAGAGGTATGCGAAACTTTGCGAACAGTAGGGGATAGAATTACTAAGGGATTAGATGCAAATCCGATAGTATTAAGTAGAATTGAGGTACTAACAGATTCAAAAACACAAATATTCGTTGTTTTCAGTTACAACACACCGCAGTTGATTCAACGATGGATTTGGAAGCCCTATGGGAAAAACTGGATCAAGTGGTTGCTTTGTGCAACAAGAACTACGATGGTTAGTTGTTTTTTATGCAGTGCTTTACCAAGTTGTTTATATGGAAATAGATCTTTGAGTGATCATATCAACTTCCAAATTTGATTTGCAATACAAGTTTCAGTATCCAAGACCTTGATGACAACTCTGGCAGGAAAATCCACAAAGGTACAACAAGAAAACGAACTTCAGAAGTCGGAAACCGACTCAACATTGCAAAATATTTCGAAAGCACTTGGTTTGCGAATGGTTTCAACAATTTTAATCGAAAAGGTTTTCAGTGGATCACCAAAACAAAATCGATATCGCGGAGACTGATTTCGTGAGGAATATGAAAAATGTGGCTGAGCAAATCAATTCCGATATTGGACAAGTAAAATAACATGTTTGACTTGATTAAATGAAGATTAGATCACGGACATGCTCGAAGGATCGACGGGGAAAAGTACTGAGATTTGTGAAGTGAGGAGGAAAGCTTTAGATGAGTACAAGGTTTGTGCTCAAGGCTAAAATACTATTGTTGAATGCAAAAATGATCTATCAAATCATAAAAGAGTATTATTTTTCTTAAGTGCATATTAAAACTTAAAATTAAATATTTAGAAAGATCTCGAGACGAGCGTTTCCAATTTGCGTCAAGAGCTGAACGAGTTCGGGGTGCAAACGAAGCAAAACTACGAGAAATTGTCGGACGAACAAGGGAAATTGCAAAGAAAAGTCGAGCAAATGATCGCCGATGAGAAGACGCATTTGGAGACGGTGGACATGGAAAATCAGCAAAACAAGGAGACACAATGTTTGATGATCAATACGGTAGGATCAAAGAGTCTTTAATCCAGTCTTGAACGATTTGATAGATCAAGTTGTTACATTAGTTACCTTGTACAAGTTGTCTTTAAGCAATGCGTTTTCTAATGTGCCAAATTTTGCAAGTTATCGTATCTTGGAAAGTTACCGCTTTCTTAAAGGATACCGTAAGCTTCATCAGAAAATTGATTTAGATCAAAGAGCAAATGGACCGATTTGCCCACGATTTGACAGCCTCACTCCAGAATCAATATGAGAGCAACAAGGAAAGTAAAAATAGCAGGTAAAGCGCAAGTTTAGATTTTGAATAAACCAATTTAGGATATTATTCGCTGATTCATTAATGGCCGAAGTTTCTACCAATTGCAACTTTATTCGTGAGGAAACAAAACAAAGCCAAGCCGTTCTTTCTGACTATGAAACGAAGCAAAATGAGCAATTGTAAGCTTTCTATCAGCTGGATATTTACAGTACAGTACAGTACTGTGTACAAATATTATCCAAATTCTTTAGCGCTTTGATCGAAAACTCGGGCAGAAATGAGGTTGACATTGCGACGAAGAGCATCAATGAGATAAAAGATTTGGTCGAGAACACGAAGAGCTCGATTTTGGAAACGAATGCGGTACTGAATACGGTAGAAAGAGTCATCTAATAGAAATTTAAGGACCTTGAACAACAGCGAGAATGCGTTGACAAGGAAACGAATCGCGTGATCACCTCGGTACAAGAGATTGTGAAAGAAACGGCGGCTTCGATGGAGGCCTTGTGTCAAAAGCAGGCAAGTTTGGATTCAAATACGCTTCATAACCAAATAAGTATTCACCGTATACAAATTTTATGAAAATTTGATGTAAAGTGCTTACAAAAACACTTCTAATTTAGAGCGAGCAAAACGTTGGTTTCCACAAATTTATTTCGGATGAATGCATGGATGCTGATACATTGACAAGTGACCACATCGCGAAGAATTTGCAGCAAATCACACGACAAGGTAACGTTGAGTTTATTTAATTTAAAGTACTTTTTCCAGGCAATACCCCAATGAAGCGCAAGTACGAGATCTTGGAGGAATGTGAGCATGTTCCTCGCAAAGAGAAACTCTTGAAAGAACATGGATATGGATTAGCGACAAGGAAATCCCTTTACATGTATGGTTTAATGTGAACGCATATGCGGTGGTTGACTCGGGTTATTAAACGAGCCAAAATTGATTTTCACTAAGAATGGCTTCAGCGTTAAACATTTGTCAAGTGTTAAACAGGTAAAATGATTAGAAAACACCTATAAAAATATATGGGGTTCGTAATTAAGCTGTTAAATGTACATATGTGTCCTATAGATGTTGACTGTCAGACTTACTATGATATAAGTTCCAAAGGCAGTACCTTTCCAGGGTTCGAGACTCGATCTTGACTGCAAACGTCGCAATCCACTCACCCTCGTCTATCACTTTATCGCGGCGAGTTCAAAAGGAAAGTGAGGTAAGAACTTTATTATTACGCAATAATAGATTAATAATAAAGTTCAACATGAAGAATATAGCGGTTCAGTATCAAACCTTACTTTTAGAACGACGAAAACGACCGAGAGGTGCTCAAAACGATCAACGAATGATGCATTATGATTGGCTTTCGAGATGTATATTGATTTGTTTTTATGTATTTAAGTTATGATGGTATTTAAAATTTATTTTCAATGAATATCTTCTCAAAATCACGATATTCGCACGGTGAAAGGGGTGGAGTCAGTCTGGGGGAAGAAGGGGAAGAGACCCGTTTGATCACCTCAAAGGGTGGGGTCAGCACACAAACATTGGATCTTGGGGTCATTCATCTATTGAAAAATTAGACTCTATTCACTTCATTCATTTCATTTACTGTATATCCTTTCTTTTATTCCTTAAAGATATTCAATTTATCTTTGTCTCCAGATTAACTGAAGATTTTTTGTTTAAGGGATAAACAATGTTCGGATTGGAACAAGTCTGAGTTTTCATAGAAAGTTTGAGTTTTACGGTAAGGGTGGGGTAATTCTAAACTGCTATAGTTACTTCTAGGCTATTGTAGTTAAATGTAAATTATATCTTTGTTATGCAGTAGTTTGGAATGCAGGTGCGTAAAATTAAGCTTAAATAGAAGTTTGAGGCATGAAATGTGCCCCAAAAACCGTCAACTCCCGCAAATCCTGAAACCTTCAAGAACCAAGTGCTTATTTTAAAGCTTGTTTAGAGATATTCTCTTTTAGATATAATTTTATTATCCAACTCTGTGCTTTATCCGATCTAAACATAGTGTCACTTGTTCCTTTTTGCTCCATTTTGTTCGACCGGAAACTTTCTCCATTTTCAACAATCGGTTCAAGAACAGGTAGTAAGGGAAAAGTTTCTTAGAAGTGTTGTCCATAGGAAAAGAATGAGTAAATGACTGTGACACTAGGTAATTATGCGCGAGACTTGAATATGAGTGAAAGTCTCATCCATTTCCTTCCTTTTCACCTTTCACCTTTCATTTCTTCGTCATTCAGGATCTCGATGACTAGATTTTGCTCATTTTCCTTCCGTTCCCATTTTTGACTTCCTTATCGATATGTCTACAGAACTAATTACAGTAAATGCTTGAGATTGAATAGGTTTTCAAGTACTCAATATCACTAAATACAATACAGATTTGTTTTGATTCATTGGTGCATAATTCAAAGACTTCTTATATTGTGGGTTTTATCTACTATATATAAAAGTGTCATTTAAAATAGAAAATTAAAAAATCAAATTTGAGTGGCATTCCGCGGGATCGAACCCGGGTTGGAAGGTGGGCCGTAGACAAGCGAGCTCCCGAATGCGTTACAGCGACAGAAACCGATTTGGGGATAAAGCTTGAGTTCAACTACAGCGATGGTTCAAAACTGCATTGTTGTACTTTTTAAAGCTAAAAACTTGAACAAGTGTGCGCTCATCGTCAGCTTCAGAATGTTTAGATCTTAAGTCGTTACTTGGACTAACTAACCAAGTACTGGCTAAAGTAGATTAAGTCGACTTGCTAGTTTTAAAATCAAGCTGCTACTTTTTGTTTTGGCAACACCTCGTTTTCTTGTTTTTGTTCATTCACGCTCAATACTCCCTAGGGATAAAAGTGAATTTCCCAATGATGATCTGTCTCTTTTTATTCTTTTAAGCTTTACGTGACAACTGGATTCACCCCTTTCCCTCTTTTACTCAACGAGAATTACCTAGTGTCGATTCCCGCTCTCACTTGTTCATCCCCCACGCAATTCTCACCATTCCCTTGTTTCGTTTCCGTTTTCGAGCTAGTACAGCCAAATTTTTGGTACTTATCAAGTTAATTCTTTAGCTAGTAAAGTATTTAATCATTAAAAGTTTAGTGAACGAGCTTGCGAAGTTTTTGATGTGCCAATCCAGATAGTTGAGTACAAAACGACCGATCGATTCTCTATTTTGTTATCAATCTGATCAAATCACTCATTTTTACAATTTCTTATGTTCTCGGATTCACTTGGCTGGGGAAGACCCCCCGAAATGAGATTGAAACTCTGGACAGTCATCTATATTCTTTCAATTCTTTTGCAGTACGGTAAAGCACAGGTAAGAGTAAGAAAAACAAACGATACAGTAAGCAAACAGGTCATAGCTCAATTTTAGATAAAGAAAATTTCTTTAGATATGCTAAAACAGATAGCAAAAAAACACTATTAAAACGGTTCAAACAAACTTGGTACATACAAACTGCCACAGGTGATCTCTCCGGTGAAGGCCATAATCTCAAACTCGGTCACCCCATCAGCTCCATTAAATCCTCCTTGTTGGGAGAGACCAATTGGTTGTGCGATTTGGTGCCCGAATGGATATCGAAGATCTCCTTTGAGTACATGTCTTTGCTCGTGTCTCGCCTCTCCATGTGCAACGCATCAGTGCTCGGATAGAGAGGTTCGTTAACAGCAAAATTCAAACACTCAACAAATATTGCTTCAAATCAATCTAAAGCTGTTTTTCATGATACTCAACTGACTAGATAGTCCGTATTTGCAAAAAGGTTTTATATAAAACGTATTTTCAAAAACGGTTCAGTTTTTCTATCGCGATCATTTACTGAAATAGTATATTGAAATTGACTTTAATTACTCTAAGGTCTTTTTTTATTTCAGTTCTGTGTCGTTCAATATGGCCGTCCGAAATGCGTGTACCAAGACGAGCAGGGGAAACCGAAAAAGGGTCAGTCTAAATAATGATTTTTAACCCATTCGAAACCGCAGCGTTTTTTCTTTTTTTTCGTCTACGGACCAAGCCCTTTTTTGACATTTTTGACTCCGAAGCAGTTTATTTATGGTTGGAAAGATGCAAGAGAGTCTCCTACACCATTTATTTTTGATGAAGAACGATTTGGATTTGACTTCAGTACTTTTCAAAATCCTATATTATTCTTATTTTATCGACGACAAATTAATCAGCATGTTAGTAGGCGAATCTAATAAACATGGAAAAAGGAAAAAAAAACTGGCAGGATTTCGATGCAAGCTCTTCCTGGCTCTGTATCGTGACTACTGGAGTAGCAGGCCTGGATTAGGAGGATTTTCCCACATGTCCCACATTATGTCAAGAGCAAAATTTGAATCTATTCTTCGAAACCTGCGTTTTTGTGATAATGAACTGGATCCTGCGGGAGATCGGCTTTATAAGATTAGAGCTATTATGGAACATTTCAATGCAAAACCAGAGACTGCATTGATTCCGGGTAAATGTAAAACATCTTCTTTGCCCACGTAATTTGTAGATCTGCTACAATTGGAATATACATGCAATGCTGAAAAACAGCAAAAAAAACCAATTAATTGAATGAAAATAGCTCAATTAGCGCTGCAGCGAATAATCGCTGCAGCGGTCCGTTCCTGAGTTTTTGCTGCAGCGATTATTCGCTGCAGAAGTTTCGAATGGGTTAAAGAAAAATAGAGTTCAATATATAAAATATAAAAAGAAACCTAGCCTCGTACTAAATTCTAATTTAAAAACGAAAACTAAATCCATTTTTTTTTAGAAAAACCCCGCGCCGAGTGCCCCCGTTTAATCAATGGGCTGTGCGCGTTGAAGTGCGAAACGGATAAAGACTGCAATGGCCGGTTGGGCTTAGCAAATTTAATCTTGACTAATAAACTATGCAAAAGATAAGCTATGCGGCTAAAGTGGAATTTTATTCTAAAAAACTGTTTTCATAATGAGAATTTCCAGCTTGATTTGTTGTCACAATGGTTGTGGGAGGGAGTGCGTGGCGCCGATGGAGTCTCCCTTCCACGCGGCGGCCCCAATTCCACAAAGTATTCGAATTTTTGCTTAAAAAAGTGGAATAATGTGGAATAATGTTTACTATTGATATTTAAAAATCGAAAAATTTCAATCAATTCTTTTCATTGTTAGGCTTTCCAATCATCCCCTCCGCTCGTCCACTTCCACCCGGTCGAATCGGTCAACCATTGATCGGCTTTGAGTCTGAGGTTGAATCTTTTCATTTGAAATCTGTTAACACATGCACGACGAGGCTTTTTTTGATTTTCCTTCCAGCTCGTCTAAAAACGTTCACAGGCAACCGATTTACTTAAGTTAGGGGTCAAAATGAGGAGAAATATTCAGGGATCATTTATCTGAAAACAGATTAAAGAAATATTGTGTTTGAAGAAAGTTTAGAATGTTTTAGCATGAGAAATTTCTCGGGTCACCGGTGACCTGGGAATTAATTTGCATTTAAAGGTTCAAAACTCTCTTCAAAGTCAATATTTTTTCAAACAGTTTCCAAATAAATGATCCTCAAACATTTCTCTTCATTTTGACCCCTAACTTCAGTAAATGGGTTACCTGTGAACTTTTTTTAAACGAGCTGGAAGGGAAATAACCTACGCAAAAATCAAAAAACCTCGTCCTGAATGTGCTAATATCATATTATACTACACAAGCTTAAAAGCTCAACAATTGCTATTTTTCGCCGAAAACCACCGTTATCTCGTTTTAACTCCGTACCTTTAGCAAGTCACCGTTTTCGGTGATTTTCTAAAAGGCACTAGCGGCACCGTAGTGCGTACGCGATGCTCCGTGTCGGGATCGCCCTATAAAAGGCGACGCCCTTTCTCATTACCTCACTTTTTTTTTCGAGACAAGCCGTTTTCTCGCCGGTTTTGAATAGCATCGCGGCGCGAACTATTCTCAACCGTTCATCATGTTCTCTTAGAACATCTACTCGTCATTTAAACGTTGCTTCCCTCAGAGGGGTCGACGTTTATACCTTCATTTCGCTTTAGCAGAACAATTCTTTTTGTTGTGTTTTCTCTTTCGAGCGTAAAGCTTTTGGCTAATCGGGAATGATTTGCCACGCTCAAGGTGGGGTAGATTTAGCTTGACGAGCCCTTTGGGTCGTAGCAAATCATTCCCGGGTGCCACCTTCAAGACCCCATAAAAATCTTTTTTCTTTAGAGGATGGATGTCGTGCCCCCGCCCGCGCCACATTCTCGACAAAATTCGAGGTCGCCAAGATCGCGATCAAGGACTTCCTCGGAGGAAAGCTGTGACCGCTCGCCAGCGTCTCTCTCTCGTTCTCGCTCAACGTCACGAGATAGCTCTCCAAGCAGAGGCCGATACAGGATCCCGAAGGTCTACGAAAGCGAGAAGAATTTTCCGGAAGCGCCGACGGTGGAACTTCAACCGGAACGACCAATCTTTCCGCTCCCGGACGAGGCGGTGAAACATTTTGCCATTCAGGCAGGAGGAAACGGGTGGCGATTGTCGGATTTGAAGACGTTCCTCGAGAAGGTTCCGTCTCCACAGGGACATCACTTGGCACATACGCCAACCCTGGACCGCCAACTGCAAGGAGACGCACAACCGGGAAGGATGCAACTCTCAACAAGCATGGCCAGGACTTTTGACGAAGCCGTTAGAAGTTCGCTTGGTTGCGTCTCAATTAGCAAACACCTACTCTCGCTGGGAAACGAGAAGAAAGCCGTCAGTTACTTGGACACCGTGGAACACATTCTGGCTGCCCTTTGCTCCCAGCTCACCTACCTGCAACGAGATAATGTGTTCAAGTAGGTTGATCGCTGTAAGTAGAGTATCGTTTCTCTTTAGAGCGCTACATCTTAACATCCACAACGTTTTGCCAGAAGCGGCAAAGGGAATCCTGGACGTGGAAGTCCATGAGGAGTCCACCCGCGGGAATCGTCCGCCACTGTTTGGCCCTAAGCTGATCAAGAAGCTCGAGGAGCGAGGAGGATCAGATTTAGTTTCAAGTGGGTGGCTTTTAAAAGTCCTTTCATGTGTTCACTTTTGCCTTTAGAATTGAAACGATTACGTACACCAGCAAAGGACACCCGAGGAGCGTCATCGGGACAACGACGCATAGAAGGGGGACCTGCAAGCAAGCGTCTTCGCGCGGATCGTCAGGAGCGCCAACCCGCACCGAGGTACAATTTTAATTTGTTACCTATTGGGGGAAGATTAAAACACTTCCAAGCAGCTTGGAAAGCGCTGACACCCTGCGAATCCCTACTAGAACCAGTACGGGGCTACCGGCTTAGATTTAATGGACCTCCCCCTGCTTTGACTCCAGCAGACGGCAGCGTAGAACCCAACGCCCAAGTAGAGGCTATTGCGGTAGAAGTTAATCAGCTGAAAGCCAAGGGCGCAATAGTAGAATGCAAAATTGGTGAACCGATCTTCCTTTCTCGGATTTTTACGGTCCCCAAGCCAGACGGGTCGCTAAGGCCAATTATTAATCTGAAGCCTTTAAACAAGCGACTACGACACACCCATTTTAAAATGGATACAGTCCGATCAATAAGCGAGGTAGTTCGCTCAGGAGATTTCCTGCTGAAACTAGACTTGAAGGATGCATACTTTCACGTACCCATCTGCGAAGAGCACACCCCCTACTTAGCGTTCAAGGTGGGAGCCAAGGCGTACAGGTTCACAGTACTCCCATTTGGGTTAAACGACAGCCCGCGAGTATTCACCAAGCTGATGAAAGTACCCATAAACTATTTGAGAAGTCAGGGAGTCAGATGCGTAGTCTATCTGGATGATATCCTCATAGCTGCCGCGTCTAGAGACGAAGCGATCCATGATTTGAACTTGACCTCACAAACGCTGATTTCACTAGGGTTTACCATCAATTGGGAAAAGTCTTTAACATTCCCCCGGCAATCAATTGAGTATCTGGGTCTCTGCGTGTCATCGTTGCCACCTAGTCTAGCGATCCCGGTGCAAAAGCGAGAAGCTCTAACAACCTTAACCAGGGCCACGCTAGCGAGCACGGAGGGGAAAACAAAAACCCACTTACTCGAGACTGTAGTGGGAAAATTCGTGTACTACACCCAAGCAATCCCCTGGCTTGCGTTGTTCCTCCGTAAGACACAAAGGAAGCTTACGTCTACCATTAGACGCAAAGGCCGTGACTCCTCGCTCCGAATTTCGGAAGACATAAGAAAAGAGTTACTAGAAGCCTGTGAAACCTTAGGAGACGCAGGGCCGCTCTCAATGTTGACGCTATCCCATAATAGAATCATCAGTAGTGATGCTTCAAAAGCTGGCTGGGGAGCCGTGTGCGAGGGACACAGCGCGGGGGGGTCGCTGGACTAAAGAGGAAGCTAAGGCTCATATAAATTGTCTTGAATTAGAAGCAGCCTTTTTGGGCTTGAAGACCTTTGCTAAGGAGCTTCACAATGCGCACATCCTCTTGGAATTGGACAACACCTCAGCTGTTGCCTACGTAAACAGGTGTGGCGGCACCAGAAGTCCAGCTCTATCTCAGATCGCAACGCGAATATGGTCTTGGGCTCGAGAAAGGCATTTAACCATCGCAGCCACCCATCGGCCAGGCGCCCAAAACGTTGAGGCGGATTTCTACTCGCGAAATTTCAAGGATAATCTTGAAATTAACCTATCCGGGGTGGTGACCAATGGGCTGTTTAAAATTTGGGGCGTACCCACGGTGGACTTGTTCGCCTCCAGGATAAACGCAAAATTGCCCAAATTCTATTCTCTACACCCAGACCCGGAGGCTTTTCGTGTAGACGCCTTTAGATACAAATGGGACCACGAACTGGCCTACGCTTTTCCGCCCTTTTCGTTAATCGGAAAGGTTTTGGAGAAAGCGGAAAGAGAATCAGCCAATCTAATTTTAGTCACCCCAGCATGGACAAACCAACGCTGGATTCCACTGGCCGCACGCCTGACCACACAGCCACCACTTACCTTGAAGCCACTCAAGGGGGTTCCCCTGTTGACAGACGCCCTAGACAATCCTCACCCGATCTTGCAGAAAGCGAACTTCGGATTATTGGCTTGGAGGATCTGTCCGCCCATTGGCGAAATCTCGGCCTCTCCACTAGAGCAGCAAGCTTGCTACTCGAGTCATGGGCTCCGGGTACTCGGAAACAATATGAGTCAGCCCTCAAAGCATGGTCACGATACTGCGACAGAGAGAATAAGAACCCCACCATCCCCAACACGGTAGATCTTATGAATTATTTGAGCTCGATCAATGAAAAAGGATTGTCCTACTCAGCAGTACTCACAGCCAAGGCGGCTATCTGTACCTTTTGGGAGATGTTAACGAATCCCGAGGGCAGGCTCAACAGTGAACTACTAACGCGCTTTATGAAAGGAGTTTTCCGGTCGAAGCCCCCCATGCCCAAGTATGCAGTAGTCTGGGACGTAGCGCTAGTGGTCAACAAAATTGTATCCCTGGGACCCAAAAATAAAAACCTGTCCCTGGAAATGCTCACGAAGAAAACTGTGACGCTGTTGACTATCTGTAGCCCTCAAAGAGTTTCGGAGCTGGCTGCGTTGTCGGTGGAAAATGCTACCTTCTTCCCTGATAGGGTAGTGTTCGCCCTACCAATGACGAAGAACAGGGGTTCGAGACCGGCTCACGAGATCATCTACAAAGGGTTCCCGGACAATAAAGCACTCTGCCCATTGAGAACACTCAGGCATTACCTAGACAGAACAGAAGCACTAAGAGGCCAAACGGGGCAAGTGTTGATTGCACTTAGAGTCCCGCATCAAGCGGTTACCCCTTCCACAGTGGCACGCTGGGTTAAAGATTTTCTTGTCTTGAGTGGTGTAGATAAGTCGTTCGGGGCGCACTCGACCAGAGCAGCCACCACCTCTAAAGCAGCCAAGGCAGGCGTTTCCCTACAAGCGATAACTAAGGCGGCTAATTGGACCCCGGGCTCTTCCTCCTTCCAGAAGTTCTATCACAAACCGATAGAATTGGGAGTTCAAGATGCGGTGCTTAGGTACTACCTCCCTAAAGTAGTGGAAAGTTGAACTAGCAATTGTTGAGCTTTTAAGCTTGTGTAGTATAATATAAATTATACGAGAAATATGGAAATATTTTGATGTATAATATTTATTATATAAACAAAGCTTAAAAGCTCAACAACCCGCCCACCCGGTGACCTAAGAACACTAGATCTTGCGAACTCACTCATTGTGGATACTTTTCAGGACAACCTATGAATCTCGTGCCTCTGGAAGAGGATCAAAGCCGACTGTGGACCAATCAAAAGCTGCGCGAGGCAGAGCTCCCATTCGGTTGCGAGGAAAGTGATCAAATCAGAGAACAGTTATACGTTTTTTCTTGTCTCTTAATTTGAGATCGTCCCAATTGTTGAAATAAAAATTGTTGATTTTATCTCACTTGCTCAAAAAACAGCGGCTGCGAATTCGAAATTCACGTTTGGAGGCCCCTGAAGTGATTAGAAAAACAGCTCGCAAAAAAGTGAGGTAATGAGAAAGGGCGTCGCCTTTTATAGGGCGATCCCGACACGGAGCATCGCGTACGCACTACGGTGCCGCTAGTGCCTTTTAGAAAATCACCGAAAACGGTGACTTGCTAAAGGTACGGAGTTAAAACGAGATAACGGTGGTTTTCGGCGAAAAATAGCAATTGTTGAGCTTTTAAGCTTTGTTTATATAATAAATATTATACATCAAAATATTTCCATATTTCTCGTATAATTTATATTTTCAGCAACTCCTGGAGCCACACATTGAGAAATCAAGGGAAATCCCCGTGCAAACAGTCTTTGCAAAACCGTTTCCCGTCAGAAATAGTTCAGGTGAGACCAAAAAAAAATAGAAATTGGATATTTTACCCTGACGTAAAACAAAATTCGCCATAAACCAACTTTACTTTGATGTTTTCACATTTATAAAACTTTGAACTCTTCAAGATCTGCTAGCCAATGCAATCCGTTTTAGAAAAGAAATCCCCATCCGATGTGCCACCGGGTGAATGCCCATCGGAGACGACTCTTTCCTCAGAATGTCCTCGATTTTCTCAATTTCTCCCCTCTCGTTCCATTCACTCATTCTCCATTTCATCTTGTTCGAGAGACGCAGATTGCCCGGCGAATTTCCGCTGTTGTGCGACGAGTTTGTGCGGCAATTTATGCACAGCGCCCACAAAAACAACTGGTATTCGAGCTTTTGTTCAAGACATTTAAAAGTTTGCTTTTTCTAGGTTGTCTACACTTGTTGGCAGCTGTTTTGCGATTACCGTCAAAGCGACTCGCAAACGATTTTCTGCCCGAATGTACGCGAAGTGGAGACTTCGAGAAGGTTCAATGCGATGAGTGAGTTTCAAAATACTATGCGAAATCCATTATCGAATATACTCTAAGTTTTTCTGATTGATTTAATTATTGTTATCTAGTTTGTCAACTTGCTGGTGTGCTGACTCGCAAAACGGAGCCGAAGTGCCGGGGACGCGACGCCAGAAATCCCTCAAGTCGCCGCTCATTTGTTTGTGTACGTTTCATTCTCTGATTCGAAAGTGGCACTGACAATCAGTGGATATTTAAGAACTAATTCCAAGCCACCAATTTTCATGGCTCTCTTGTGGATATACGTTTTACCTGTTACTTATAGTTATCTAGTTAAATATTTTATATCTATCACAAAAGTCAAGCGCATGCCTTTGAGGGGTAAATCTAGTGTTTGCGTGATTTCCGTGAGTGTTCCCCTCTATTTCATCCATCCGTGTCTTTCACAAGTGTCCCCTTTTCCCCTTTTCCCCTTTTCTCTTTATCAACAAGAATTTGCGCAAAATTTGCATAGCTGAGAGATTAGAACGCCTCCTGTGTCACCTTTATGCAAGACAAAAGCTTTTCTCTTGATCTTATTTCAAGGGAAAGGTTTGATGAATAGAAGGGTACAAGAAAAATAGCTTTTCACATAGCCTTGAGAAATAAAAACAGAATACCGTAAATACTCTAATAGAACGCCATTTCCATAATGACGGGCGTACAGTCGGTATCAATGCTAATCCTTCCATGCAACGTGCAACAATATCAACAAGCCAGATAACTTCTATTTAAAGTTCTTTCAGCGCCCCGTTCTTGTGAGATTTCATGCATCAACAAGTGTCCACATGGTCACAAAATGACAGCCTCTGGATGCCCGGTGAAAAACTGTGAATGCAAGAATCCGTGTGATGGAATACGGTAATTAAAGAAATTGAACCATTCATTATTTACGCGGCAATAGTTGCCCACTAAGCTGGGAATCATGTCAATTGGTGGAACCGGATTGTGCATCTCCTCCTTGTCTTCCAGTGCCGAGATGTGAGTGCGCTTTTTTTTGCCTTTACTTACCAAAAAAAGCTTTACTTAAGGTTTAGAAATAAAGAACTTTACTTGGAAAATATCAAAAAATAGTACTTTATTTGAATTTGAAACAAAAATAAATACTGTACTGGAAAGTATTCAGAGTATTTTTTGGATGAAACTATTTGCAGGCTTGATCAATCCTTGCCCCGAGGATCAACCGATGACTTTGCCCAATGGGGTCACCGGTCTTTGCACACAGAGCACTCAATGTGGGGATGCTCATTTCTGTCACCAGGTATTCGAGGAAGATTTGGATTTGTTTAGAAACTGAAATACTGTACTCGATATAATCTAATATCGATAAGGATTTCTTGGATTTTACGAAAGTAACAAAAAGTGGCCAAACGCTAACCAGGCTGATTTGCGGATATTTTGAAGACTCTCGAAAGTCGGAAACTTTGAATACCTGAGTACCTTATTTTTAATACAATAAAGGAAACCTCTATGTCACAGGAAATTGATGATTTGGTGTTGAACTGTTACTCTAAGCAATCCTCCCAAAGCTTCTCCGTGATTTGATCGATTTGACTAAGTTGGGGATAATGGAGGTGATTGACTTGAGATGTGGATAAAGATGTGATCTGATCGAGTAAAGAAAAAGAGAGGAATAAGATGAGATTCATGTTTACCTACCTGTCACTATCACGCACAGAAACTCTCCCACAAAAGGTCTCTCCTTAGTCCATTTCCTTTCCCATTCTGTTTCCGGGACTCTTTTCTCTTATTTGTTGGGTGACTTGCGAGATACCGCCTCGAGTAAATGAAGTAAATGATCGTCAACACAAGAAATCCTCCTTGAGGGGTCATCTCGAAGCGGGGAGATAAAAGGAAACAATTATGAGGAGAGGGGAATGTTGTTAGTGTAGCAAAGTGAGTTGAATAGACTTAAAATGATTCTAGTTTCTAGATAATTTTGTACCAGATACATTTTAATGCAAAGATTGACAAGAATTGGGGTACGGTGTTAACCTTGATCCTTAAAAGTGTAAGATAAGATCAACAAGGGCTCAGATAACTATGAGCCTTCGAAGTATCCATTCAGTACCTCGTTTCTTGTGTCAACAAGTGTCTTAGCCAATAGAATGGATTCAAAGGGCTCTTTGGTTTTAGATTGGGTACAATGGGCTGGGTTTTTGTTGCCCCGGCGCAGCGAGAGGAGTCCGTGAAGGCAATTGCCCCGCGAGACAACCAAAAACTCGGGAAAATTGTCGCCAAGAGTGCATGGTGGATACGGATTGTCGAGCTGGGAAGGTAGATAAAATAATTTGAAATGGAAAAAAGAGAAATTGCAGTGTTGTTTCGATGGTTGTGCCCTGCGATGTGTCTCGATGTCATTTTTGCCTCATCCAGTCTCACCGATGAACCCCGTGAGATCCCTGACGACTACATTGTCCACCCCAATAAAGCCCGGTTTCTCGCCGGGATCCGTTTTTCGGCATAATAAAGGTGCGCAAAGTTTTAAAAATAAAAGCAACTACTGTACCTTGTGCTCTAGAGCATGATTGATTGAAAATGATTGAACTGAGAATTGATTTATGGTCAAGACCAAAAGTAGTACTACTGTTGTAAAAAGATTACAGTACAAGGGTGATACTTTAGAAAAGAAATCTTTGATAAACAATCGCACCTATGATAAAATTTAGAGCTCTACACAAGAAACGTTGGCTCCTGTGCTCTCGTCGAGCCAAGCAACTCAACCAGCTGCCCCTCAACTTGTCTCTCCGATTCCTCTTGTGAAGGAGTGAAACTATGTTGTGAGACCGAATGTGGATCAAGGTGTCAGTATCCAGACTCTGCGTCACGTAAGTTTTAAAGAGCTTCAGCATAGCAAGCTGGGTAGAATATTCTAATCCTTGTCTTTGACAAAGTTGTTGTGGCTCGGATTAGTTACCCAGTAAACCAGATGCTGACTAAAAATACCATAAAATTCGCTTGATATATGATAGTCAGCCGAAAAACCCGCTTCACAGCGAGTTTTTCTGGCCGCGGACTTGTTGTCGTGACAGTCGAGAGCGCGCTTTTCTACGGCTTCGGGATCCGGGGTCCGGGGTCGATCCCCCGTAGTGTCACTCAATCTCGACTTTTTAGTTTTTTTATTTTAAATCCAACAACTATATTATATTTTATATATAGTAGGTATATTTTGCAGCGTGTGTCCATCGATGGTTGACCTCTTCTCTCTATTCACTTCGATCCGTTCTCCAATGTACATCGGAGGGATTTTTCGAGCGAAAGCAGGTAAGGGATGGAATTTTAGAAAAATACAACTAGTAATAGATCTTACTTTTATAAACACACTATAATTAATTGTTTTAAGTGTGACGATGACGGTTGCTTTTGTGTGGATAGGTTGACGGGCGTTGAACAAGCCGGCACACGAGTTACTCATCACAAAACGCCAACTTGTTTACGTATGTAAAGTTAAATACTTTAAATGTCAAATAAATAAAGTAAATAGTTTAAATAAATAAAGTTTAAATGCTAAATTGTTTAAAAGCTAAGCATATTTCTAGCGGATTTATCCGAATGTCAATTGCCTGTGTGCCGAGCCGAGTGCCCTTTTGGATTCGCTCTATCATCAAATGGATGTCCTACATGCGTTTGTGTTGATCCATGCCAACAAGTACTGAAATTTCGAATCAATTTTGATATATCAAGATATTCTTAGTCTTGAGATCAACAAATTCTTTAGGTAAAATGCCCTCAAGGCTCTTTTTGTCAACTGAGTGCTGTGAAGTGCCGGGAGGTGGACACCGAGTGCTCCAAACAACCAAGATGTACTGTTTTCTCGAGAATTTTTCTACGAAAATTAATCATTTTTGGGTTCAGGCATAGCCAATGCTTGCCCCCAAGGCGATCCTTTTGCCACCTCGGCCGGTTTCATTCAATCGTGCTCACTCGTCACCGATTGCCCGCGCCACTTTTGGTGTCATAAAGTTTGTGAAAAGATATAAGATAGCTATGATATAAAAATTTGATTTGATGATTTGGTTAAACTATCGTATCAACTTTTAGTTTGGTATTTCGACGGGTGGAATTTGTTGTCCCGGTCCTCCACCGAACATAAAAGCAGGAGCTTGTCCACCCACATTTCCCATCATCAACATTCAAGAGAACGAGATTTGCAAGGTGATTTTAAAATCCAGATTTGTACTAAAGGTAGCGATATTTGTGGCTGAAAACAAGTGAACAAAGTAACTGGTTTCTCATTGTAAGTAGTACAAGACAAGAGATCTCAAACTTGCCAACCAAAGTCAGGCCAAATTCGATTTTCCCGGCTCAGAGCGAGACCAGAACCAAAATCTTGCTTCTGGTCCCGAAAAAAGTACCTGAATTCGCCAGAAGCCAGGCTTGAACGCAAGATTCAAAAAACCCAAAAAACGACCCAAAAACCGCCCTGGCCTCGTCAATTTGTCATTTAAGCCAAAGAGAATTAGAATCTTCAAATTATTAGCTTTTTTTGCGAAAGTTCAAAGACTCGACTTTGGTGGAACTCGAGGGTATCAACGTTGACCTGTCTCGTATTCAAACTCCCTAGCCACTACACCACTTGACCACAATAGCTACTGCAACGGAGAGAGCCTTTGTTCTCTCCACACATTTCCTTTTCTCGTTTTTTTCTAATTCAAAATCAAAATTTATAATGAAAATTACAAACATTATAACTTTATCAGATCCGAAGCTTTACAGCTGAATTTTCAAAACACTCTATTCTGAGCCCCTTCTAACAGCCTACAAAACTTGGACCCGATCCGAGGTGTTTCCCTCGTAAGCCTTGTGCCCAAATCATAAATTATCAGTAACATCGGGCTCACTTTCAGAAACAATGTTTGACTGATGAGCACTGCGCACCTATGCACAAATGCTGTTACAATGGGTGCGGAACATCGTGTACTCGTGAGTGCTTTAAAAATATTATTTTTAAAAGCGATCAATTTACTGAATATCCCTTCCAGAAGCAGCCGCCTCATTTTCCGAGGTCGAGCTGGAGTCCTCGTTTCAACTCGAGAAACCAGGGCAATGTCCGGTCGAAGTGCACGAGGCGAAGAATTGCCCATCTATGTAAGCAATTAGATATTATCTAAATTCTAGATATTAGCAGAATATAAATTAGCTATATAACAATTTTTAAATTCCAATGGAAATTCAGGGCCATTGATTTGTGCTTGAGTGACTCGTCGTGCCCGGGCGTTCAGAAATGTTGCTCGGATGGGTGCAGAAGGTGCATTTTTCTCCGTGAATTTGAAATTTGCATTTAAATCTTAAAAGCTAAAGCAATTATCAAAAAAATTATGTAAATTTCTTAGACTTTCAGGCATTGTGCGTGGCCCGAGAAAGCGTCAGCCTGCGTTCAGCTGAAAGCGGCTCTCCAGCAGATCGGACAATCAAACGATGTTCAATGCGAACTTGGTAGGTTTTTCGAAAATGAAATTTACAAACCCGTTTATTATATAGTGGATTATTATCTAGATATCGTTATTATCTAAGAGAAATCGATCTTATTCCCCTTTTTCTCGAGATCGTCCATTTCGCGGCCGAAAAATTTGTGGTAGAAAGCTTTCTTTTCCTGAAAAGAACAATGTACAGTCCTTGTTTTATCAAATTACAGTATGCTAGATTAAAAAGCATTCAGTGAAGAATTTAGATGATATTCTGGCTGAATACTTTCATTTCGCTATAGAATTCTAGATCTTTACAGTGCAACATTGACTTTTCTGGCTTATGAAACTTTCAGCATCTAACATTCAAACTAAAGACTAACCTAACGATTCAAGTTAACGGCATTCAAACAAATATTAGACGTAAAATACTGTAATTTAAAATATCAAGCAAACAAGCCAACCTCAGCCGTATAAGCAGACTTTTTTGTCGGCGCTCTCCTTTTCATATTGATCGGTTTCGTGTCATCTTCCATTTTCTCCATGTCCCACATAGAAACCGGATTGTACGCATCACCGTGAGCATAAGCGAATGGAGAAGTTCCCTGGAAAGTTTTGGCTAATTGATAAGGATCAGTAGAGCTGACAGAAATTCATCTCTTGATAGATCTTCATCTCCAAAACTTTCATTTTTCCATGAGGAAAAGAGTTGAACACTGGGTTGGGTTGGGGCTGAGAATACAAAACATGCCGAGATTCGAACCCCTCGACCTCTCGCTTACCTCCCGCTAACGGACTACCAATGAGCTACACTGCCACGTATCCCATTGCCAAAATATGCCTTATTAAAGCTCACCTGTTCAACAGCGCCCGACAATGGGAAGCGGACTCCTTGTCCCATTTCGCCGATCGGAAGCGGGAAATCGAGACCGCCAATAAAGAAAGAATCGTCTCCTAATTCAATTTTTATGAGATTTTTGGCCAAATTTCTTCAAACCTGGCTCAAATTCAACAGCAACCGCTCCCGAATGAACAAATGGATTACAATATGGTGGCTTGCATTTGATCGGTTCATATCTAAATAGGATTTAGATGAATCTTGTAAAAGTCTGAGCAAAGATCAAATAACGTTAAAGAATAGATAACATACTACAAAAAACTACAAGAAACTATCCAGTTTATCTTATCTTTTTCACAAGTTCACTTACCCGTAAGGGATCCGACCAACCACAACTTCTTGAGCTTTTCCTGTAAGTAGATGTAATCTGACTTAAAGTTTTCTCAAAAAACAAACGTCTAGCCTCTCGGAAAGCCGGATTTTGCCCTAACAATGCCAACGTTTCCGGCTTGATGTGTAGGTGGTTCGTGGGACGGAATTGATAACCAATCTAAAATGGTAATAGACGTTTCTTAGTCATTGCAGATAAGGTTTAAATATAATAGGCTATATTTTGGTACTTTTTATAGATTTGTATACTTTGAAATCGGTGTTAATATTTCCGGAGTAGAGATTCCCGTCCAAATCCACGTTTCCCCAGCCGGGCACCGGGAAATTCATGTCCCCTGAAAGGGCCTAAACAGGGAAGATTTAAAAAATCAAATACTCAACTAATAAATATAAATATCTAAAAATTCAAATAGAGGCATATCTTTTTAACTTACCACTTTATTCGCTGGATTCAACTCGAAACCCGTGTTGAACTGATCGGTGAATGGGAAAAGTGGGAAATTGTCCGAAGTGATTAAATTTGGGAAAATCGCCTGGAATACTAGAATAGATGTAAAGATATACCGTAAATGCTGTATTAGAATGACATGTCATTCTATTTTCCAACCCCTCAAAATCGATCAATCCAAAAAGTAGGTAAGGGGGGACCACATGAATCAAAAATTTATAATTCGTTAAAAACTATTTTAAACGATGGACCTTTGTCCAAAACGTACCAAAAACACATTTAAAAGTGAAATAATTTCCTTACCCGCGGCCCCCTTTGAATCTCCAAACAAACCCTTTTGATTTTTTTTTCAAAAAAATTTTTAAAATTTTCCAAAAATAGCGTTTTAAATTTTACTGGTGATAAAATATTAGTAGGTTTTAGGCCTAGATCTATTCATAGAACCCCCACAAGGGGGTCTAAAGTCAAGTTTTCGAGGGAACAGGTGAGTGTCATTCGAGGGGTGCCATTCTATTAGAGGGTGTCATTCTAATACAGCATTTACGGTATAAAGATATAAAGATAGTTAAAGATAAAGATTTAGTTAAATATAAATTTATAAGATTATAAATGCTATTATAATTTCACTCGCCCTCGGCCCTCCAGTCGGAACGATCAGCGGCTCGTTTCCGCCGACTTTTTGAGCGGAAAATTCTGCAAAAAGCTATGCAATTATGAAAGTTTCAAAATATCAGCTAACCTGGAAATATTCCTAATAGTAGAAAATATAAAAACATGGTTACGGATGAACTTTGGAAAGGAAAATAAGGCTAAAGCCGATGATCGGGTCGAGATTTCCTGTTTTCGTTTTCGTTTTCGCGCTTTCTTATCCAATCATCCGGTTTGGGGAGAAAGCGTTAGAAAAACAGAAAATCTTTAAAAAATAAAGCTTAATTCAAACTTTAAGATTCAAATAACTCAATAAAATGACTGGTAAGCTAAAAATCATGACAGATCTAGCAGAAAGATCCAGAAAGGCTAAAGCTAGCTTAAGAAGCTGGACTAACTTTCAGTTTGAAAATCTCTTCTTGATCATCTTTAGTGCAACAATTACAGATGGCTCTTTCGCAGCCGTTCAATGCGATTCATTGTTTTGTTGGTGTGTGAGCGATGGAGGGATCGAAGTGAGAGGGACGAGGATTGGAAGACCCCTTCTACCGAATTGTGCCGGTTAGAAATCTGCTTTATATCTACAAATTTAGAAATATTTATGTAAAGAATTGATATTGATTCAAACTTTAGTATCACGCGAATGCCCACAGAAATCGTGCATCGATTCGCCTACAGAGTGCCTCCATGGAGCGGCACTCGATTCGAACGGCTGTGAGACGTGCGATTGCTTTGATCCGTGTCATGTGGGTTTACAGATAGAATTAAAACCAGAAAAACCCAAATTTGACAAGTTTTCAATCTACCGTAACCCCCAACCAGCCAAGAAGTTGAAGCGAGCTAACTCTAAACTGTTTGAAAATCAGTTCACTTCTGAGTTGGTTTTGAGTAGATTCCTGGAATCCATTTAGTTAGTTAACTTCTTCCTTTCTTCCTTTCTTCTTCCCCCTTGTCTTTCCTTTTTCTCTTGGCAAGCTAGGATATCGGATAGCTCAGTTGTTAGAGCAATTGGAAATTAATTTTTCTTTCCAATTCCTTCGCTTCTTTATTATGGTTAACTGAAGAAAAGTGTTAAACTGTTTAAATTTTAGAAAATCGCTTGCCCGGGCGATTCCTTCTGCGTTCCGATGGCGCCGAGTGAATGTTTGACGCCTCGTTGTCGCCACCTTCCGAGATGTGTCATCAATCCGTGTCCTATCGGAGCTCCACTTAAAGGTTGTTGACTAAAGAAACTAAGATAAGGGTACGGTAGTTTTTGGAAAAACACCTATTAAGAGATTGCTCATTCTAGATATAACGACGCTGTTACCCGTTGAGTGTCGAGAGAATAACCAGTGTCGAGACACGATGACCCCATCATATTGTAGAGCACACACGAGTCAAGGAGGGTATTGTTGTCCGGCTCCAGGTAAGGAAATAGACTCACAAGACTCGCTCGGCGGTTCAACGGTGACAACAATCATCTCCACAATTTCCCCATCAAGCTCTTCGTTTGAGATCTTCAAACTGGCTTCAAATCCGTTGGATTACCAGGATCTATAGACCAAAAAATAGAGAATCTCAAGAGCTTTAGAATGGTTTAAATCTAGTTTTATTAGCTCAATGAATCAAATTCTACAGTAATAGATAATAGTCCTTTTCAGAACCGAGATCAGCGCCGGGTGGTTGTCCAACAGTTGGCATCTCTACATCGTGTACAAGAGATTGTGTGCTGGATGATGGATGTCCATCGGGAAACAAATGCTGCTTTAATGGATGTGGGATGAGCTGTCTGCCAGCTGGTTTAATCCCACTATAGAATTGAAATCCCTATCTTTCCAGTGATCGCAATCGTTCCCATTCACCGAGAGCCAAAGATCGGCTCGTGTCTGCCGGTGGAGATCCCCGAAGAGTTTGAAACGGGCAAAAGATTGGAGGTACGGTGTTAATGAGTTGATCGTAGAAAGTTTTAGTTGAAATGAAAGAATAATTTTAGAGTGAATGTGTGGTGAATGAGGAATGCCCACAGCTTCAGCTATGTTGCAATGTCGGGTTCGGGAGAAAAGCTTGCACATCTTCGCATCTCACCACACCGTGTAAGACTTTATAAGTTATAATAGTTTATGATAGTTAATTAAACTGACTTGTGTCAAGCTGTACTTTAGCTCAAATTTAAAAAACCAATCTGAACCTGACTTGAACCAAACTTAATTATTGATCTTTTGTTGATAATGAGCGTCTTATCGACTATCGATGGTTTGTAGGATTGAACTAGAGCTTTTACTCGGCCACTTTACAGGCCTTCACGCCCGTGGCGCTGCTCAATCGCTGGCGGTGTTTAATCCGAATTACCATGTGCCGACTTGTGACTCGGAGGGAGCCTTCGAGCTCATTCAATCCGTGCATAATCTCCGTTGGTGTGTCGATGAGATGGGAAATGAGATTCCAGGTTCGTAAAAATTTCATCAAAACTGTACAATCCATAAAACCTAATCGAATTCCTCTAATTCAGGCACGAGAACGATGGGGAGAGTGCCGCGATGCCGTTTGCCGAGATCCTGTCGGATCATGCCTTGTGACAAGAAATGTCCAGTGGGGTGAGGGTAGAAATATTAGTTCACTTAAACATTAGGCTTTAAAAATTCATTGCTTTGACGATATTTGCAGGCTGAGACTTGATGTCGATGGGTGTCCACTTTGTGAATGTCTCGACCCGTGTCAAGAAGTCGTTTGTCGAAAAGGGCACCATTGCTCGTGGGGAATCTTTTAAGCAAATAAAATTAACTAGTTTAATAACTAAATACTTAGTAAACATATCTGATTTTAGTTCTTATTTTAAAAAAATCGCTGAACTAAAAATTTCAGTCTTGTCTCGGTGCAGTGCACGACGGAAAGATGTCCACCGGTGCCTCGATGTAAGTCAAATTATCTAGAAAAGTCTGAAAAAGAGAAAACTTTACTTGAATGGCAACTTTATTAAGTAAGCATACGCAAATTTTTGAGATATAACATTTTAAAATCCTGCCGAAGTTTTTAGTTACTTTCAAGGCGTTTCCATGCCGATTTTAGAGCTAATGACCAAATGGCCGCCATGGCCGACTGGCTAAGAGCTCTTAGTTGGGAGGTCAAGGGTTCAATCCCGCCGGCTATATTAGCTTCATTTCTCCAAATGCTTGGGTTTTTCTTTACAACATCTTTAGGGGTTGGGTGTTGAGTTGTGTATTTGTTTGTTTGTGTCACATTGTTCGTATTGAATAAATGTATACTTTAATAAAGTGCAATTGTTGTTGTTCTATGAAGTAACCATTGCAGGCATTCCCTCAATTTGCCCCAGCAATTCCCCTCCACTGATGATCTCTTCGCTGCTCATTGAATGTTCTCCATCAACCCGATGTCCTCAAGGATTTCATTGTGTTTCGACGGGCTTTGAGGGTCGGGGCTATTGTTGTCAGGGAGCAGGTTGTTGATGTTATAAATATTGTTATAGATATAATTGTTATAGATAAACCTCAAATTCAGAACCGATTCACATGGAAAAATGGCCAGCATGCCCATCACTGCCTCTTCTCAACTCGACAACGGCTGATGGACCGAGTTGTGATGTTGAGGTGAGAGAATTGGCCAAAAGAGTACAAAATATTGAACAATATTGAACTCCAAACTAAAGTTAGACTTTGAATCATCAAACTTAATTTCTATAAATAAAAATTTAGTGCTATTCTCACAACAACTGTCCCGGATCACTTTGCTGCTTCAATGGCTGCGGGATTCAATGTATTTACAAGTGAGTTTGATATCAATACATAGTTTTCTTAATGTAAAGGCATAAAATTTGAACGAGATATGTATAGTTTTTCATCAGAAATTTTATTCCTAGATGGTCTTCACCAAAACAAGAGCTTCTCCCGAGTGTTGGAGAGAAAGAGAAAGAAGTGAAAAACCCAATCACCATCATGCACAAAATCATACCCGCTGGCAAGAAGTTGATAAAAATAGGTAACTATTGAATTCTGATTTTACTTTAAATGAATTTAGTTTCATCCGAGGAAGAGGAACGAGTGGGCAAATGTCCATCGATCAAGCATTTGCCTGGTAGAGAAAAAAGCTGCATAAACCTGTGCTCGGTTGATGACGATTGTCCGAGTTTTGAAAAGGTAGCTTTGTAGAGAAATATAAACTCAAGTTTACTGTAAAATTCCGGCCTTCTGTTTCAGTATATTGGGACTAATAGCACTCAATTTCTTGCGTCAGGAGTCAAATTTTGGCTTTCGTTATCGAAATTCTACCACTTCTTAATATTAGAATTTACCGTTTCTTACTGTTAGAAGGAATAGTAAGGGTTACTGTATTTCATGATTACAGTGTTGTTCAAATGATTGTGGCCGTGAGTGTCTACCGGCCGTTTTACCCGGTTGTGTCCTACTGCTATCGGGATATTTGCGAGCTCTTCATCAACTCTCATCCCCATATCCGCCACCCGTTCAATGCACAAAAGATGGTCGATGGAAGGAAGCACAATGTGATATTCGAGCAGGGTTTCAATTTTATAAAAATAACTTTTAAAGCCTTTTTAGAGAGTGCTGGTGTGTGAATCCACTGTCGGGAATCGAGATCGTCGGCACGCGAAAGAGCAGCAATCAGCCACTGCCCGATTGTTCAGGTGAAATGGAATTTTAGCTTTTATCTAGAACCAACAAGATATGCTAGTAGAAAATTTGATTCAATACAAGTTCTACATAGCTACCGTAACCCATAATCACCAGCAAATCTTTCATTTCAGTAGCTCGTGGCTGTAGATCGTTGTGCGCCGCATCAACTTGTCCTCGTGGTTTACTCTTGGATTCATCGGGATGTCCACTTATCGATTGTCAATGTGCATCTCCGTGTGATGTATTATAAATAAAATTGCAACTAATTACGAAAATCTAGCGATTGGACTGTTCGTCAAGAGGGCAAACGTGCATTGTCACGTCGGACTCGTGTCTTGAAGGGAATTGCCCTCTAGTTCCGAAATGTGAGTGTTCTTGTGTAACTGAATATATAACAATATTTCATATCGGAATCTAATACTTACTGTAATTCAGGTGTCTCATCGGGGTGTCCAAATGGCTGGTCTCCAATCGTGCGGCTCCGTTCACCACTTCTTTGTGGTTATCGAGAGTCTGAATGTCCGACTGGGGAATGTCATCCGATTCCCGATTCACAAGATAATCTATCGATGTGTTGTTTGAAAAGTTTGTTTATAAGTTTAATTGTAAACGATCATTTTCTAGTCGCTGTGCATAAAATCGAGACGACCACTGTTGAAGTTCAAATGATAGAGTCGGCTCCAAATGAGACAAGTGGGAAATGATACAGGGTTTCTTTCCAGACCTGACTTCTGGACCAGGGATGGTCCTAGGCCGTGATAAAGAAGTGAAGGAATTGGCAAGAAAAGGTGGATTTCCGTAGACGGGATTGAACCCTCGACCTCGGCCGATTGACTTTGCTTTCCGGGCAATTGCTCCACTGAGCTATTCGGTAGCTTAACTTGCCAAGAGAAAGAAGGAAATACAATGGGGAAGAAGAAAGGAAGAGAGGAAAAAAAGAAAGAAAGATGGAAATATCCGGGTCTTCAGAACCTTCAGAAAGGTCAGGCCAAGGCTATAGACAAGGCCTACCCCTACAGGATAACTATAGCTGGAACTTGGTCCATTCTTTTGTACTCTACTAATAGAAAGATAAACTAATAGATAATAATAATAGATATCCTAATAGATAAACAAGTTTTATTCAACTGACAATAGTATAAAGCTTTTTCAGACTGTCAACTTCTCCGTGCCAGCTACGAAGAGATCCGACAAGCTGGCGGTCAAGTGTTAACCGCTGAACCTATTTGTCAGAAAGATGACGGTAATTTACAGTATTGTAACGATATCAAATTGCTTTTGAAACACAGAACATATGTAAATCTCAAAATTTCCAGGCAAATTCTCAGCGGTTCAATGCGAGCTCTCTGGTTTGTGTCGCTGTGTGGACAGATCGACAGGCACCGAGATTCTCGGATCAAAGCGAATCCCGTTAATTGGACAAGATGTTTGCACTGGTGATAAGAAACAAACAATTTGATAGGCTCACTGAATCCTTTTCAGCTCAAATAGCCCATTGTTCGGTGCGTTGTGTGATCTCATGTCCCTTCGGAGTGGAAACTGATGGAATGGGATGTCCACTAGCTGGTGAGTATTTGAAAATAACAGAAAATAAAACCAAATGCTTTTTAAAAGCTATTTTTTCAAACATTTTTTTAGGTTGTCCCTGTCGAGACCCTTGTTTATCAATTCGTTGCCCCTACTCATCGATTTGTCTCCTGAGAAGTCCCGATTGTTCCGAGGCTCACTGTATTGCAATGCCAGTCTGTAAGTGAATTTATTGATTTGTTGATAAAGTTACAGTGACTTTGAAAATATTCGATGGCTTAAAAAGATTAGATTAGGTTCGGTGGCTTGTTCAGGAACTGAACAAGGCAATTTGGCACTAAACCATGCCACTAAACCACCACCACTGCTCAAAAAGTACCACTTTGAGAGCACGTTGAAGAAGCACTTTGAAAGAAGCACTTCAAGCGCCGCCATGGCCGAGTGTTTAGGAGTTTTGTATCCTAGTATTGCATGGTCGCGGATTCGATCCCAGCGGCTAGAAAATTTCGCTCTTTTCCCATAAACATGGGTTTTTCTCTACATCTTTAGGAGTATTAGGGCAGGGTTGTGTGTTGGGTATTTATTTATGTCGCATTATTCATGTTGAGTGTATACTTTAAACTTATTCAACTCGAATCCTAGGTGAACCGAATCCTTGCTCCAGAGGAAACAAGCCGGCTTTTGATTCGAGAACATTTTCTCCGTTCGAGTGCAAGTGATTGCTTATCTGGTTTTCTAAACTAATGAAATTTCTCTAGAAATGATCGATCAGTGTCATGTCCGGCTGATTTCTATTGTGCAGGTGAAAACGGAGATGGACGAGGTGTTTGTTGTCCGGGAGGTAGATAGTTTTTGCTTTTCCATATCTAGAACTTTCTTAATTCGATAGAAAACTCAATAAAAGTCTTCGATAGAAAAACTTTAATAGAAAAATGAATAAGAATCATTTGGTAGGGTGGAACTGTAGCTAGAATACCCTATAAAAGTTACAGTAACGTTTGAATACTGTAAAAGCTACTATTTCAAAAGAACTTATCTCTTAAATTCCAGTGAATGGCGTTTTATCCGAATGCCCACATGGAATCCCATATCCATCATTCGATGACGGTTCTCCTCTACAATGCTCAGTTCAAATGAATGGCTGCCCATCCACTCATTATTGCCTCACACATCCCCGGAATTCTTCCGGAATCTGCTGTGTTACAAAACGTTTGTTAAACTCTGCAATAGCTCTTATACATGTTTAGGTCACGTTTGCCACGAACGAATGGATATTGGGGGTTGTTCTTTGAATGTTCAACGATATTTCTATTCACCCGATGAGCAGAGTTGTCTCCCGTTTGAATATGGTGGATGTGGGGGGAATTTGAACAATTTCCCAACAAGAGATAGTTGTGAACGCTTTTGTGAAGGTGATTTGATGAGGAAAAATGGAAACAGCTTGGCTAATATTTAAATTTAAATTTTTAAAATCTAATACTCTCACCTACCCATAGCAGCAATAACTTTGTTCTTTTTGCTACAGTTAGTTTATAAAATTTGCATAGTTCGAGTTAATCGTCTATCGTTATTAGTACTCGTTAGTACTCGTACGCGAAATTTCAGGAATCGGCTTTAATATGGACACCCCTTTGCTTTCGGACGATGGACGACCGAGTGAACAATATGAAATGGGTTTCGCATTGAAAGGATCACGATTGGAGCTAAATGATAAGGATCGAATAAAGAGGTAAATGACGATAACGAGAGCCAAACTTACAATGGAATGACACCAGCTCGAAGTTCAGAATTGCTTCGTGCATCTTATAGGCTATGCTGATTCTAAAACTGTAAAAATTAGCTGCAAACACCCAATCGCAAGGAATCTGGCATAGAAAATTTTCTTAAATTTCGGACTCTTCATGGCACCGCCACAAAGAAAAGTTGCAACGGCTTCGGTGTGGCCTAATGGATACTAGCCTGTTGAACTTATGAAGTTTTTTGGCTTTGGTTCTAGTCCCATAAGACCAAATTTTTTTGCATCTTTGAAAAAGCATTTTATGCACTCGAGCACGAAGCGATTCTGAACTTCGAGCTGATGTCCTTGAAGCTGGATTCCCTTGTTAGCTGAATGACACATTTAAAGTACTTTCAAGCATCATTTTTAGTCAAGTGTTAGCCATTTTGCTGTCCCGATTCGGGCTCACCGAACGAGAAGTGCGGGATTTGTCAGTTCGTGTGCCCGACTCGGTTCGTTTCGTCATTCAATCGCCAGACGCACGCCAGAAAGCTCAACAGATACATGAAGCGGTGAGTTATAAAAAAACAAAGAGTAACCTAAACCCTAATTCAAGTGTTTCAAAGATTTAAAACGCTTATTCTTATGATGTATAATATTTTGATGCATTTAGACGAGAGCTACTAGTTATCAAGCTTTGGTAAACTTTTAAGCATTTGAACTCTATATTATACCTGGAGCTCTAAATCACCAAAAATAGCTCGTCTTTCAGGTAATGAACGGTTCTCTTCTTATCCGTTACTTGGGCTCAACATATTCAGCCGAACCGCACACCTGGTTTGCTACTCAAGTTGCTGAGAAAGAAAAGATTAACAAAAGCTCTGTTTATTGGGGTAATTAAGGAAAAATAAAGAATTCTAAAAGAACTTTTTAGCAGTTCTCATTGCGGCCACGACCCTCTGTTTAGTCGTTTTCGCCGTTCTTTGCTGTGCATGTGTGAGTTTTGCGAAAAGATTCAACAAAAGTGATAAATTTACCTGTTTTCTAGAATTCAATATAGTTATTAAATAGTTACCTAACGGCTCAAGAAACGAGCCTATTTAAAGCAATCATTTAGTCATGGATGATCCGGGCCAAAGAGAACCGTTGTGACTCAGCCCGATCAGCTTCTTCCGATCTTCGATCACATTCATTCTCTCATCACATTCCGCCACAGGTCAGAAAATAATAATAATATTATTATTAATTATATGGTTATTCACATGGAACTTTGATTTTACCCCAATTACCAATGAACATCAGCTTCAATTGGTAAAACCGATGGTAAAGAAGAGCGAGCACTTGTAGAGGTCGTTAAAGAAGCTGTTAAAGACGCAATGGTACAAAAAGAAGATATTGAGCTGTAAATTTGTACCCGGGGGTTTTCAGGGTCGGGGAATCGATTGGAAATGTCGATATCAAGCAAAGCATTAAATTTAGATGTTACACGCATCTCGTGCCTCGACGATTCGTATGAACTCGGATCGATCAAATGACCAAAGACCCCAGCTAACAAGAACTCTTTACTGATCTGAAAAGAAAAGAGATTTCCCCCTCGTCCTCCCAAATACAGGTACACCCCAGCAACAAATCCTCATCATATCCTACTTCTCTAATCTCAAATCATTTCACAGACAGTTCCCTCTTTTATTTAATGTCAATACAGGTCTGCTCAATTGTGTGCTCAAAGTTTCGTGCGTGATTTTTTGATTAAGCATTTATTCTTCAAAAAAACAAATAAAGTTTTATACTTTGATCCGCTTGAGGGATCGGATATGCTTTTTGGATGGACATTTGGATGAGAAGAGATAAATTGAAAAAAGGGGAAACTGAAAGAAAATGGGACGACACAGACACACAATTTGACAAGCTCGATAAGAGTGGAGAATAGAAAAGGGAATAGAAAATATTGAAGATATCGTTTCTATCAATTCCAAAATACTGCGCAATGTTCGAGTGTCGAATTTTTTGCAGAGCCTCGCATTCTTTCAGAAACAAATCATTTCTCGTTGTCGAATCCTTTGCCATGCATTTGGTAGCAATTTTTCTAAGAAATTAAAGGCGTAAATTTTAGATTCACTTTCTATAAGGAAAGTTTTACAGTGCTTGATTAGTAGGACAAGTTTTTAAAGATAGTGCTCCAAAACACCAAAAATCTATCACTCCACAAACATTTACTCTTTATAAAGTTTTTCTGATTTGCAAAAGCATCTTCTAGGAAATTGTCCCCTCAAAAAGGTAGTTTTTCGATTTTTAAGTCTTTTTCAAAAGCCAGCAAAGAAGTGAAACTGTAAAAGGCCATTTTTAGCAAAATTATCCCCTTTCGCTTTCTCGAAAAGCCGCAATTTGTGGCTTGTAGATTTTAGAAACGAATTTCTCTTCTTGTCGCTTCATTTTTTGCTCAAAAAATGCTATCCCAGTTCATTATTTACTTGAGTTACGGAATACCATCCGCCATTCTCAATTTTCTGTTAATCATTTGCATTTTGAGAAGCAAATCCCTTCTGAAAAACTCGTTTTATCGAGTCTACGCTTTTGTGCTGATTGTGGTGAGTGGTAAACTCGCTTATCGATATTATCGATACAAACGGCATGCTCATGCTTAACGGTTCAGATCTCAGCTTCTAAAACAGCTATCAATCTGTAAATTTTTTTCATTGAAAAGTCAAGAATGTCACCTTTTGATTGCTATTTTATAGCGATTTTTAATAAGTAAGTACTTTATAAACCTTATCGATAAGCTTACTATCGATACGATAAACTTTTTTAAACACTCACTTATGAGAATTTGCTATGTGTGAAATAGCAATAAAAAGCTGACACTCTTAGCTTTCTAATGAAACAATTTGCAGATTTTTCTAGAAACCGAGAGCTGAACGGTCAAAAATGAGCTTTCCGCTTGTATCAATAATTCTAGTGAGTAGAGTATGTTTCTCTCAAATAAGACATTCTTAAATGCCCTATCAGTAAAAAGAGTACCGTAGTTTTTGCATATTAGCAATAAGAACAGCAAAATCGCTTTATATACGGCTGCCAGGAAAGCTATTCAGTCGCTAAACTGATCACCCTATTTGGAAAAGTTTTATACAAAAGGAAAACTGAATACCTCGCAATTTCACATCAAAATTTGGAACGCCTTATTTGACGTTTATTTGTTTAATATAATTTATAATAACTTGAAAATTAATCAAAAAGAATCGCCTTGTTCCAAATTCTTTTGAGATTTTGAGAATTAGCCACAAAAAAGTAAATCATGGATTAAAAGGAAGATTAGTAGCAGGTTATTGTTTTTTTTAAATTTCAGTACCTGGCCACCTATCTGAACACATGGATAGCCATTAAGCCTCGGGAGCTCCTCGCGGTCACCCAATTCTACACAAACATCTCGTCGACAATTCCCCCATGGCGCATCTTTTTGACGATACAAGCATCGGTTTTTCATATCGAACAGCTTGCCCTCATTTTGATGCATTTAAATCGATTCACCTCTATTTGGTTGCCCCTTTTTCATTACAAGGTTGGCTTAAGCTTTTTTCTTAAAAATTGCAAAAAAACTGATTTTGAAGAAAAAGATTAGCTTTGGGCATCAGAAATCATTGAACTTCTATTCTTTTCTAAAATCATTCAAAAGAGTTTCAGTTGTGGAAACGTTCTCACTTCCAATACGCAGTCTTTGTCATTTTTCTTTTTGCTTTCGGAGTTAATTACGAAAATTTGTTTATGACCGGATATTATACTCCGAATGCGGCCGGTTACGCGATTTTTGCGGCTGATCGAGCAACGGTAACAAATTTTTCGTTGAAAGAGACTACTTGGGCCCAGTACAGTATGATTAAGTGAATGTTTGAAACTAGTTTACCGATTTTGTAGCTTTCCCCAATCTCGTTGTGGACGGAGAAGTCAATGTCACACGTCTATCCACTCACCTCGCTGGGCATCAATTTGGGCACCGTCTCGAAAGTGCTCTACATGAGATATTTGGGGAAAAGGTGGCCTGAAAAAAAGAAAAAACTGAAAAAAGCTTAATTATGCGTTCAAACCTTGTAGTTTTTGACATTTGAAAACAGAAGAAATAATAGACTATAAGAAATCACAAAAATATTTTCAGAATTCAATGAACTTGGTTTGGAACTTAAATCAAATCAAATCCAAATTTGCCTTTCTGTTTCAGTTTGGGCGCCAAATCTCTCGAATTGAACCTTTTATTCATTTGCTTGGCGAGTTTATTCGTTCAAATTGGTCTCATGGTTTGGGTAGTAAGTTTTTAAGATTTTTTCGACACAAAAACGTTCAGGACTACGGCAATATGGCTCTCGATCAAGCCACTTGGCTTTTAGTGGTCGGGTTTCTTGGCTAGAATACTTTAATAATAATTTTTAGTTAAACCTTGCCTCGGACTGTTCAACGTTAAGCGAGGCCTACATTGGTTTAGCCGTTAACAACACCTTAAGACGAACATTTCTCTCATATTTCTGTTTGTCGATCAAAATTGGCTCTGATGTCACTTTTTCGAATCCGTCAAATCCACAAAATTAAGCAATTAAGTTTTTTGGATTCGATTTTAAAACCTTGACCTTTAAAACCACGCAGCAAGCGTTTTGCTACTAAAAGGTACAAAAATAAATAATGATTTTTTCGATGTTAATTCGAGAAAATTTCGACCGACAACAGAAGAGATTCCGTTGAGCTAACAGACTTAGTTTTTTGTTCTTGTTTTTGTTATCGAATTTTCGGTTTTCAATAAATCGTTTTTGAGACTTAAATTTGGTATTTCACAAAAAGACAATAGATGAGAAAACAAAGAGACAACATCGGAGACAATTTTCTCGGTGAGAGATTTGAGAGGGGCACACACAAACTTTTTCCTTTGAAAGTTTAATCTGATCATGAGCTTTCAAAAAAAACTGCTTAAAAACAAGCACCAACAATTCTGCAAAAATTTTATGAGGCATCGGAGTCAAACCAAAAACCCCATATTTTGAATCCAGATCGGTAAAAAAGTACGGGAAAAACAACTCTTTTTCTCATCAAAAAAGAGTTCCCTGTTTCATTTACTAGACGAAAAATCAAAAACTGTTATTTGTTCAAGATAAGTAGAACTTCTTCTTGGTTTTTCGAAAACAATAAACTAAAAGTTGCAAGAAAAGAAGCAGAACACTTAAATAAGAAAGTTAAAGAAAGAAATGGGAAAGAAAGTCATAGATTTTGTAGATTTTGGGGTTTTCAAAAAATTTCAGCTGTGAAAAAGTGGACGTTTGTAGATCAATGATTATGCTTTTAAAGCAAATCACTTTCTTTTAGGCCTGGTGGTATGTGCTTCTCTTTTTCGATGCCTTTCTCGGCATTGGCTTTGCAATGAAGCACTATGACTTCTTTGGAGCATAAGTGAACAGCTAAGGATACTTATTCTTGATTACTTAAGATTTCTGCTCCTACTCCACCCTTTTTCCGGACTCACGAAGAGAAATCGGCCAGAAAGAGGTTCTTGGATCGAATGGAGGGACGTTTCAAAACATTATTCCTTGAGAAAATTCTCGTCTAGCTTTTCTGTGATCAAACCAGCTAAATAGTCTTCATTTCAGGATGACCGTTTATAAGTTTTCTCAAGTCATGGTGATTTTGATTTTTCAAAAGTTTTTTGAGTAACTCTTCCCCATCAAGTTTTTCGAAAAGTTCTTCTGGTTCTTGTTGAGTTTCCGGCAGTTCTTCGGCTGATGAAAATTTATTTTGTTCTTTTAAGATGCTCTCGGTGCTCTGGCATTTGAAAGAGCCTATCCACTAGGAACTTTTCGATAGCAAGACAACACTCAACTTAATCAAATACTCGGAGCTATCAATATAATCAACTTAATCAAATAAAGTGCTAGTTGTGCAATAATGTGTATCACATACAAATTTATTGTTTTTGAAGTTTTTGTTACTGGATTCTTGACAATTTTGGTTTGTCTCAGATTTAGCTAAGTTTTGGTTACATTTAGACACCGAAGCAACAACGAGACAATGAAATTGGATGCGGATTGGCTTGGAAGATCGACAAAAGGTAAAAGTTTCCAAAAAACTCAAAGTAGGATATAAACTGAATAAAACATCTAAATATTATGCAAACTTTGAGCAAAATACTGTCTTGTCATTCAGTAAACCATCTTCAACTTACGAGGGGCCGACAATGGGACTAAAGATGGCGTGTACCTCAAAACGGTGGGTAACAAAACTAAAATTTGAGCTAAAGTTTTGAAAAATAACGGACTTTGGAAAGGTTTTCTCTTAATATTAAGGACTCTAGCAAGCTTTTTGAATTGTTAGCTGCTAAACTCCTGATTGTTAGCTCTTTTAGTGTTTTGCTCGCAGCCACAAGAGTTAACTGTTATGTGGCTTAGGCTTAGGCTTAGGCTTAGGCTTAGGCTTAGGCTTAGGCTTAGGCTTAGGCTTAGGCTTAGGCTTAGGCTTAGGCTTAGGCTTAGGCTTAGGCTTAGGCTTAGGCTTAGGCTTAGGCTTAGGCTTAGGCTTAGGCTTAGGCTTAGGCTTAGGCTTAGGCTTAGGCCCAGGCTTAGGCTTAGGCTTAGGCTTAGGCTTAGGCTTAGGCCCAGGCTTAGGCTTAGGCTTAGGCTTAGGCTTAGGCTTAGGCTTAGGCTTAGGGCTTAGGCTTAGGCTTAGGCTTAGGCTTAGGCTTAGGCTTAGGCTTAGGCTTAGGCTTAGGCTTAGGCTTAGGCTTAGGCTTAGGGCTTAGGCTTAGGCTTAGGCTTAGGCTTGGGGCTTAGGCTTAGGCTTAGGCTTAGGCTTAGGCTTAGGCTTAGGCTTAGGCTTAGGCTTAGGCTTGGAGGCTTAGGCTTAGGCTTAGGCTTAGGCTTAGGCTTAGGCTTAGGCTTAGGCTTAGGCTTGGAGGCTTAGGCTTGCAGGCTTGGAGCTTAGGCTTAGGCTTGGGCAGGCTTGGGCTTAGGCTTGGGCTTAGGCTTGGGCTTAGGCTTAGGCTTGAGGCTTGGGCTTAGGCCTTAGGCTTGGGCTTGGGCTTAGGCTTAGGCTTAGGCTTGGGGCTTGGGCTTAGGCTTGGGCTTGGGCTTGGGCTTGGAGGCTTGGAGCAGGCTTGGGCTTAGGCTTGGGCTTAGGCTTGAGGCTTGGGGCTTAGGCTTGGGCTGGGCAGGCTTGGAAGCAGGCAGGCAGGCTTGGAAGCAGGCAAACCTGAGCCTAAACAAACCTAAACCTAAACCTAAGCCTCAGTGGCCTGGCTGGTGGTGGGGCTGAGGCCTGATGGCCTGGCCTGGTATAGTGCCAGTGGTGAGCCTGAGCCAGGCTGAGCCTGGTACAGACAGAACAGCGGAAGATGGCCAGGCTGAGCCTGGTGATGAGGCCTGGCCTGGTGGGCCTGAGCCCCCCGCCCAGGCCTCAGGCCACAGGCGGCCTGGGGCTGGGGCACCTGGGGCCTGAGTATGAGGCTAGGCCTGGGGCCTGGCAGGCCTGGGGCCACCAGGCTCAGGCCTGGGCCCCTGGAGGCTAGGCTACAGGCCTGAGGCCTGAGTAGGCCTGGGTACCAGTACTGGTACCTGGGCCTGGCCAGGCCTGAGCCTGAGCCTGAGCCTGAGTGGGGCCCTGGGCTGACTGAAGCTGGTACCAGGTGCAGGCTGAAGGCCCTGAGTGGTATTTGAGTAGCCTAAGCCTAAGCCTAGGCCTAAGCCTAAGCCTAAGCCTAAGCCCACAAGCCTAAGCCCTGGAAATGAGCCCCTAAGCCTAAGCCTTGGCCTAAGCCTAAGCCTAAGCCTAAGCCTAAGCCTAAGCCCTAGGCCAGCCTAAGCCTAAGCCTAAGCTAAGCCTGAGCCTAAGCCTAAGCCTAAGCCTAAGAAAGCCTAGGCCTAAGCCTAAGCTAAGCCTAAGCCTAAGCTAAGCCTAAGCCTAAGCTAAAGCCTAAGCCTAAGCCTAAGCCTA